GATACCCTGGCAATCGTATCTGGACACAGTGCCCTTAAAGTCTAAAATTGTAAAGTAGAGTAGCAGAATTAAGCTTTCGCAAATGAAGGTATTTGCCTTGTTCAGTAGTTTCTCGGCACAATATCGAAACGGAATGTCAGTTGAAGAAAGGCTTTGAATAAAAAGGATAAGAAGGTAAAGTAAATCAACGGAATCTAATGGTTGAAGTCTCTTTAAGGTCTAAAAGCCCATATTAGGTTTTTATATTCTATTAACCCTTAAGTTGCTCTCTCGCACCCTTTAATGATATTGTTTATTGCTTCACTGCCACGAAAAAGCCCACACACTCAAGCGTCTTTGAAATGTGGTTTATCGCTGAATGCGTAAAACACTTAAATTTCGATGAAGAATTTTATTTTTCTTCTGATGAATTGATAGTTAAAAGACAGTTGCATGTGAAAAAATGGGACTAAGGCGATTTCTGTAGCCTTATAAATGAGATACAATTACAACCGTCATGAGTTGGACATCTCCGTCTAACGTTTCTGCCAAATTTATTGTCGCAGACGTTAGATGGATAACACTGCTGTCTCTATCGGAAGTTGGGAATCATTTTATTTGTTTTGTTAGCCTCTTTGGTGTAGGCAAGACATTTTACCTTAACTCCAAAAGCAACCCCGCCAAATCAATGGTTTTCAATTGTTCCCAAGAGCTAAAATTTACCTTAATAGTCTGGCTGGGCCAAACATAGATCAACCTGAAGTCTGCAAACATTTATTCAGATAAGCTTTACACTAACGCAACCAGCTGAATTAGCTACGTTTGAGAAGAACGAGCCACACATGGGGCTAAAGAAACCGTTTTAAAGCTTAATTGTTCGGTACAGCAATCATGCGAAAGTTCTATTGAGGTCAGAATGCTATATGGAAAAGCCAATTTTTTTAAAGGGGGGTGCAAACGAAAATTTCTGTATAAGCCGTAGCTTGTACGATGCTAGTAAGACGTGGCTTGCAGTCTGCTTATCATTGCATTCGATGAGCTTAACCATAAGCAGGCACGGGAAGAACGAGTAGATGCCATAACACTTTCTGAGCCCTTCCGTCGAAATCGGTTCATACATAAATTAGTTTTGGGGGTGCATCAAAGTTGAACAGCCCCCCTCCCCCCCTTTTGGTTGAAATGACCGCTGGTGGACTAATCAGATACCTGGCGACTTCAAAACTAGGTTAGTTATAAACGGATATTGCAGATACACGATAAATGGGTGTCATAGAATTAGTAAAGTTCAGTTGGTAATAGATTTAGCAATAGTAGTGACCTAGTGCTGCACTGTGTCACATAATAGAAATTTCTATTCTGTGACTGTGTTAAGCATGATGACCTATATCACAAACCTCGTCAATTTTGTCATAATTTGATTTATGTTAACGAGATATGTTTACGAACATTTTTTCGGCAATTAAGATATTTGTAACTTCATTTACTCTCTTTTTCGTATTGTATAACTAATATTGAAATCCCAGAACTATTTTGTATATTCGAGAAGCAGTAAGTCGTTAAATCGTAAGTCGATAGTAGTTAACAGATGTAAGGCATGATATAAACTATGATAGTAAGTATTTTTCTTTGCTTGAAGACAAATGCTCAGGGTCTCCAGGGCTAACTCGAAGGTATCGGGGTCAGGAATTTTTTGAACTTTTGCTATTTTGTGTGGCTTCTTAGAAAGTTCCATTTAAGCCCCATTTGGAGGTTGTGCAAGTCCAGAAATTTTCGGTTTTTTATGCAAACAGACTAAAAGCAAGCTCGGTATAAGAGGGCAAAGTCAAATAATTTCCTAAAAGGTCGATAAAATCGTGAGCGATGTAAAGAGAATTTGCAACAGTAATAACGAATTTGTATCAGCTCAGAACAACTACCTGTATATCTCAATTTTTGAAATGGCCAGGCCAGATACAAAGCAACTACTTTCGAGTTTTTATTTACAGCATGGGAACGAGGATTTAGCCGGCAGTAAAACATTCCAGGCAGTTTTACAACACGTGAATTTACCTTAATTTAGGCAAATTTACCTCCATTGTGTGCTTATGTGACTCATGTCATTTAAAAAATCAAGACTGGTATTTCAACTCTTTATTTATCATTCTCGTTATTAAGAAGAAACGCGAGTTGTAAGGAAATCGAAAGGTAGAGATTGGACTTGCTATACTGGTAAAACACCAATTGAAAACCTTGTAAAAACTTTGTAGAACTTTTATACCCCCAGTAATTAGGAGTTTTTTATCAGAGCCAGAAGTGGAGATTTGAGATTTTAGATTGATTGTTAGGAAGAGTACAACCCACCGAGCCCACTAAAATTCTACCATCGGAGAAAACGTAATTGTTTACTGCTCCTTTGATGTCAAGTATCAGGAGCTGATGCTTTTCCGAGAAAACAATGTATGAAAGCTTCGGGTAGAAAATATGTTGGAGGGAATGAAGCCATTAGAGAGAATTTGGTAAATAACATCTGGGTGACACCATAATAATATGTACCATTTAAATTTGGTGCTGTTGAGTTATTCGAATCTGAATAAATGACCGAGTTTCCCCCGTTATTCGTACAAAATAGTATCGCGTACACAACAGCCGGAGTTAAGCTTCTTATGATCAAGGACCACACAGGTATTTTTTTGAAATTTCTCATGTGAACTTACTGTGATGTGCGTAATTACATAACCAAAATACTACGCCCATTATAATCGAGAATGGAAAACAGCAAGGTACTGAGTTGAGGCATACAAAACACTTGAGTGTGAAAATTGATTAGTCATTTCTATCCCATGTATCGTGCGCATCCCATGAAGCAAAACCATTTTCAGAATTTACGATGTGATTTAAGGATCATATCCTATGTCATATTGAGGCTTAGGGCGCATATTCTAATATTTCACTTGCGATCTTTGGGACGCATGGTCGTGGGTAAAAAACAATCTTTTTAGCACAGTACCGTCTAAAGCCAGGCCTGGTGTAAAACTTGTAATAAATGCTAAATACCTATCACTTTATACAGTTATTCACCATCGCAACTTCTCCTGTTTTGGCATGTCGGGGATGGGAAAATGTGAAGTGCTATCAATTCACGGACTTACAAAGAAGTAATAGCAGGGGACATAGGGGGCATGTGCTCCCTCTACTTTCAACAACAGGGGTTAAGCACCCATTTGCAGTTCACGGAAGTACTTATTGTTGCATACTCCTTCGTTTAATATATTTCCTATGTCAATCTAGACTCCTCTAACCACTGATGACGATTTAAACCCCTGTTGGATGCAGTCCTCCTGGTGCTATTTGCTGGAAAACTATTTTTCTACAACAAGAAGTCTCAAGGAAGAAATTTAATTATTGTTCTGCATCTGTTGTTCATTGTGCTACGTTTTCAGCATAACTCAGTTGATACTCTGACTTTGTCTTTTATTAAAACTGTTTAGAAAACAGATTGCTGGTAGGAATACCATAAAAACACTGCATTTGGTGGATACAACTACAAAAATATAGGATGGAAAATACTACACGATTATATCTGATAATATAATGGTACACATTCCATTATAAAACAAAAGAAATTCATAATTACAAAAAGAATAGACTTGATAAAATTCATACATTAATTATTTCATATTGACACAAATAACATTGACTAAAACTTGTCCAGTAGCGCTGCAACTACTGGACATTGGGGGAGGTAATTGGCAACCATGGCTTTTTTACCATAACCTACACTAAATCCTTTTTGCGATCCTAATTGCTTATAATGAGAAAGAAGGAAGTGTCAATGAACTTTTATGAGGGTGATAGAATACAACAATGCTCAAAATGGCCGATATTAAGTCGAGTGGCCATACTTTAAATCCTCCACTTATTGTCGTTTGCCCAATGACGGCGCCACGAAAGAGGGTGGGGGAGGGGGGGGGGCGCTGGAGGACACGTGCCTCCAGTTTTCAACAAGATTGATTTCGTTCCGTCTAAAATAGACGAGAAAATGATAGAGTGTTAGGTTGGGGGGAAATATTTTGTGATGTAATGATTTGAACATCTTCTTTTACGTACCGCAAAATTAGTCAGGGACGTTTCCTATTGGTAAAATTGGCGTTTCCTGTTGGCAAAATGGCGTCTTCTGGATCAAGGAGGGCGTGGCCTAATTTTTAGTTGCTAGTCCTCCAACCCACAGCCTAGTGTCATTTACTTTAGGGTTATTAGCATTTCTCATTTATCCTATCTGCACAACTGTTTAACGAAAATACCGTGGCTCGTTTAAAGAGGACGGCCTTTCATATTGGGGCTTTAATACACTGCAGCAGAACTGAGCCTGTGTTTAGTAACATTCTTAACCTTGGATTGGACCGGATATTTCACTTAACTGATATGATTAATCCAAATGAATATTACAGCTTAATCAAATCACAGCAGTAAACGCTACGTACTTTAGTAGGCTTAAAATCGCTAGTCACAGTTGCAATTATACAAAGGTTGCAACGAGAGAAAATCGATGTAAATATGAAGGGTTCAGTAACAACTGTAATAAAAAGGAAAGAAGGTTATTTCAAAATACAAGCTGCATTGCATGGGTCGTATTTCTTCTATCCCATCACATTCTCTATCTTTGGGGGGTAATCAACAGGTACACCTAATAATTTTCTAGCTATGATTGTGAAAAATTTGATTGTGCTTTCCGGTATCAGTGAAGTTTGGTTTATATGCTGATCACGTTGGTTCAAGAGCATCATCATTATATAAGCATTACTGTAAAACTTGAAGATTAACATTTTAAGGGGAGCTGAGGTGCGAATAGCTCGGTTGTAAACGAAGTTGATAGATAATAAAATGAAAACTCCTGAAAGGACGCGTTTCTAACCGTATAAAGAGATTGGGTTGATGGTCAAAAAGCATAACCAGTCTCAGCAAATGCAAATATTTCGTTTACATAGCCCTAAGAAAAATGCAAGCCAAACATATATTACCTTAAAATCACACAATTTGTTTCAAAGAAAGCTCTTTTAATGATAAAGGCAAATCAAAGCACAATCACCCCAAACAGTTGCCGAGATATCCTGGGTACGTATTGGTTTGATGACGTTTTTCCTGGGCGAGGTCTCAGCCAATTTGTAACACTTTAAGCTGATTTTGTACAGTTAGATGTATTCCAGGATGCTTTTTCAGGCTACAGGAATGCCAGAACACATTTGGAGAGGGGGTAATAGATAAGTTGGCAAAATTTAGTGTTAGTTTTTCACCGTTATCTTTGATGCCACAACCCTAATATCATGCTTCAGTAAAAAGGTATAGGGGAAACCTACAGACCCCTTAGCCCCACGGCTCCAGCGTGCCTGGGTTATTTGGCCCAGACTAGAGAGTTCCTGAGACAAGCTTTTTACGGTGTATCTCGCTTTTTAAGTTTATCTTCCTTAAGTAGTGGCAGTTACATGGGGACTGTATTGGTTTTTTCTGTGCAATATTTACTGATTTTGGCAAACAAGGTTTAGAAGACTAGCGCCAAGTCTAAAAATATAACTGAAATTTGGTCCCATCAATTCTAACTAGAACCGCAATGCAAATACAAACCTTAGAAAGTAAGTTTTGTTTCGTTTTAAGATCAGGGACTATTATAACCCTTCTCACGAACCCAAAGAGCGCTAAGGAAATGAACCAAGAACATAAAGAGTCGGTCCTAAAGACATTTTGCTTTTTGACCACGACACAAACAATAAATTCACGTTAAAAAACATAAAAGCACATCTAGAATGATTTTTTGTGGGGTCATGATCGCTCATGAAAATTAACTACGCGCTGTCTTTTTACATAGCCTTGCTGTAGTGAGAGTATTGTATAACAGAATATCAGCAATAATTTGCTTCTGGGCTCAAAGTAGAGCATCCGACAGAGAAAGAGGCAAATGGTGGATTCGTTTTCAATGATGAATAAAGCAAAGAAGAAAAAGGATCTCTTGTCGGTATCTAAACAACTACACGACTTTCTCTTAAACGGTGGTTAGCAATAATCCTCTTCGTGTTTCTATAAGATACTGTTATTATACATACAGGCATCAACGATCAAAGCTATAAGACGAAAAAGTAAGATACTGCTTTAGATTCATCTCATTGTGTTCCATCCTATTTGGCAAAGAAAGATTACAGAACCGTTACTTTAAATGATGAAAAACGTGCGATTTCCAGAGCATCCTTTGGGCTCCTCATAGAAACTTTAAATGTCAGATGGATGCACAATTGGAAAAGCACTAGCTTTATCTCAGGTCATTTGCTATCCAAAAGCCCACAGTAGATAAATTTCTAACGATGTATTATCCAAGATATGGTGTCAAAGATATTGCAATACAAATATTGTTCGTCAACTATGGCATCTGAAATTTACATATTAAGTTTACGTCAAGCCTCTGCTTCCTATGATTTATATACTAGATACATACGGTCATTCATCATTAAGACTATGGTATTCCGCAGGCTTTTAGACTATTGAGACCACTCTTCGAGTTCAGAAGTTCAGGAATCCAAGCTGCTGAAGTGTTGAGTTTGGTGGTTGTCCTATTGGTATGTAAGCAATACCATACGAAAGTGCTGAACGCAGCTAGCATTCCACATCGACGCATTGGCAGTTTTTTATGTAACTGACCTCTTCTAAAACGACAACCTTCTTTCCATCGCGTATGCAGTTGACAGCAATCACCTTCTTAACTTTCTCGGCAGGCAAGCATGCCTTACAGAATCTGACGTTGCTCTGTGGATATTGTGGAATATATAATGAGTTACAATAACCAATACAGTAATGGTTCACAACTTTTTTCGAGTCACATGTCGAATCTCCGACTTCCATTAAGAACTGCTTTGCTTTGCAGCTCATCCTGTCCTTCCTCCACTCGTTGCCAGGCATTAGTGTTGTCCCATTGCCATTTGTCTGCAGACTCTCTGGAGGTATCCGCAGGGCAAATATCTCTGTCCCGGTCCCATAGAACTGGGATACGAAGAGCAGGGCCAAGAGTGTGCATAGCCAATTACCCATGATCTGCAAATGAGAGATGTTGAGACAACTGTTGTTTATGTATAATTTCTTGAATACATTATAGAAGAATTCTTAAATCAAAAGTCTCCCTTTCAATCGCTAATTCTCTCCGCTAATCGCTTTCCTCACAACATCAAATCTTGTAATGTTCATATTACACACTTATTCATGATCTGATCTTCCATTATCTCCTTTATTACAAAATGTTAGATGGGTTTAAAACGAATTTCAAAGACAAAGACGATATTCTTTGAGCTTTGTGTTATGTCGTCTCTTATTTGATGAAATCTTGCTTGTCTTGTCAAGAGTAGTGTTTGATAATGTTGCTCTTTTGTCTCAAGGGAAGACGTTTCCCAGTAACCTTAAAATACATATGGAAAGGCCACATGTACGATGACGGACCTGACAAAGTTCCCACAGAAAACTGCCCATAATTGTTAGTTGTGGCAAACCCATCATTTATAACGTTTAAGAAAATGACCAAACCCATCATTTAAGGGATTTCTTTCCGATTACCATGAGCTGAAAACGTTTTAATTTCAATTTGCTCTCAGGAACTTGATCGAAGGGTTTGGTCCATTTGGGTCAAATGAGACAAGAAAAGTCTTTCATTTAATGAAGAAGACCGTTAAGAATTCACAATCAGTGAACACGCCCAGCCTAACGGAACATCTCAGGTCAATGACTGAGACACACAAAGACTCTTGTGAATATATCGTTTCAAAGAATTTAGAGGAGGCTCTGTCTAGGTGAAAAAGCAACAAGGCGGTATTATAACACACTGTTGAACGGAAAGGGTGAGAAAACATAGCTTGAATACCCATGATAAACTTTAATCAGACGAAATTGCCATTTTTAAGGAGATTAAGCATTTTTTTTATTAAAGAGAGTTGTCTTAAACAAAGAAAGGTCCCCCAGAGATTGCCCAGCAATTCTAACAGAAACAATTATATTTTAACGGGATGCTATGCGTTCAAAATAAAACAGCAGAAATCTTTACATAGATGAGAATTTTGGAGACCTTATGTTCCCAAGTAATTATGATTTAAATGATTAAAGTTTTTAGTACTGCAAAATTTGAAGGTGGCAAAAATGGCAGAAATATAGCATACTGACGCACTTTTCGCCAGACACTCTTCAAAGTATAAACGACGAATAATAACCGAAAGTAAGAAGAAAATTTATATCCAGGTGTGGATCGAAAGCGACATGAGAGGAAAAAAGACGCATTTGATTAGTAGCAAACCTAAGCAAAAATTATCTGACCCCAAAAGTTGAGCTAAAACCTACCGGTCGTTGTTTAGTAAGCTTATAAATAAGATATGGTTTATTTGTCACTAATGTAGAGGCCAAAGCAAACATTTTTAACGATTATTTGATTCACAATGTTGTGCAGTAAATACCGGTAGCACGCACGATTCCTAGTTTCATATTCCGTGGTCTTGTGAGTTTACAAAACATAGAAATTGACAGGGAAACGGTCTTAAAACTCATTAGGTCTCTTGATACAAAAAAGGCACATGGCTGTGATGATATTTCTTCTTCAAAGATTAAGATATGTGACGAGTCAATAGTAGAGCCCCTATGCTTGATTTTTGAAAAATGCCTAGAATCTGTTGTTTACCCCCTCTCAATTGAAAAAGGCAAGCATCATTCCTGTTCCCAAAAAGGGTGAAAGACAGAGCAAAGAAAACTATCGCCTAATTTCGCTGTTAACAATTTTTGGAAAGATCTTCGAAAAACTTTTGTTTGATGCGATATACAGCCACCTAAGCGAAAATGGTCTTTTGTCTCAACATCAATCAGGTTTTCAGCCAGGCGATTCAACAATCAATCAGTTGTTAGCAATAACCAACAATATTTACAAAGCCTTTGAAGAGCTGCCTAGCAAAGAAATGCGTGCTGTTTTTTCTGGATTTGTCGAGGGCTTTTGACAAAATATGGCACGACGGTCTTCTCTATAAAATGGAAGGCAATGGAAATACCTGGAAATATTCTCCAGCTTTAAACGTTTTAAACTCTGAAGAGTATCAGACGAAAAGCTTTAATGTACTATATTTTTGCTTTTTTCAAAGCCATTTTCAAGTTTCGTACCACCAAAAGATTATTTTCCAGCTTCTTCAAAGCCTTTTAAAGGACTGAAAATAGCGCGTAGTTTTAAATGGGAAAAATTCAAAGTAGGAATCGTTCTCGGCAGGGGGTATCTCAAGGATCAGTCCTTGGCCCGCTGTTCTTTCTTAAATACATAAATGATATAGTCAACAACATTACGTGTGGAGTTAAGCCTTATGCTGATGACACATCTCTGTTCTCAGTTGTTGATAATGCAAATATTACCGCTTGAGTGCTGAATCGCGATCTTGAAAAGATAAATTTGTGGGCGTGGCAGTGGAAAATGCAGTTTAATACTAATAAAACGGAAGAATTCATATTTTCCTGTAAAAGGTATAAAACGAACCATCTAAAACTTAGACAAGGAAGTTTGTAAGAAATGGTTAGACTAGGATGAAATAGTTTCTAAGAATGAGCATAAGCAGCTAGGACTGATTCTTTACTCGAAACTTGATTTCAAAAGTCATATAAGAGAGGCTATCCTAAAGGCACGAAGAGAAATAAATGTAGAGAAGCTCTTGAGCAAATCTATAAGCTTTACGTTCGAGCGCATTTGGATTGTGCCATTTCTTTTCTCTGTGCAAAGCCAAAGCACCGGAATATCTTTATTTGGAGATCCCTCTGCAGCGAAACCTGATTTATAATCTAAGAAACCCACATAGTTATGAACAGCCTACTGGAAGAAAAATTTGGTACCCAAAATCGTATTTCCAAAATACCATATCTGAATGGAATCTTCTGGATAACAAAGTACGAAATTCTCCTTCGATTTCCAAGTTTAAAAAGAATCTGCTTGCTATCATAAGGCCAATTAACAACCCTACCTACAACAACCGTGACATTCTGGGTATTAGACTTCTAACCATGCTTAGGATTGAATTCAGCGCTTCGAATGGGCATAGATTTACACATTACTTTGCCTGATTAAGTCCAATGTGTGTCTGTGGCATTGGAAAGAGGACAAGGAGCATTTTCTCCTGCACTGCCCTCTATACAGCATGAAGCGCCAGGATCTCTTTGACCAGCCCTTAGGTATCGATGGATTCAATGTTGCCGATGTGAATGCAAAAGACCTTTGTCATTTACTCTTGTCTGGAGATCGGAATTTTGGTACAGTTGCAAGCAGAATTATATTAGAAGCAACAATTCCCTTCGTTAAGGCCTCTTTTATTTCTCTAATTTTTATTTTTGTATGTTCTTTTTTTCTTAGATGATGTAACTGTGGACTCGATGACCATGTGTCTTTCCTCGCCATGAATGTCACAGTTAATATAATTGCAGTTTAGTAGCTAGTTTTAGTTGTTCTTGATCGAGCAACTGTTCCTTAGCAGGGGGGCTGTGCAGGAATTGCAAGATTGGATGTCACTAAAATTCGCTCTAATCCATCATAATCGTACCAAAAAAGCAAGCCAACTAAGTAGATAGAATTTATATTAAAGCTTTCCAAAAATATCATATGTCTACGTAAATTCTAAATCAAGTTTTATGGTTAATGATAATCTTTTCAACATGATGGCTATAGGTTTTTGTATCCTTGGTGAAAAAGAATATTCTATTAAAATGCAATTGGTAAATCAAAAATGAATGCAGTGACATTCCTAGAAAAATTAACTGCATTGAGAAATTTGAGAGTGAAAAATTGCGCTGAACCACCCATGGTGTTACATAAACTGATGTATGTTGTATCAAGCAATAACATATATATTTTTAAAGTGCTTATATAAGTTGAAGGTATCATCACAAAATACTGACGTACGTATGTTCCCAAACGCGAAAAACAAAACAGTACAACTCGAAAACCGTGGAAATGAAGGACTATACTCCTTTGGTTCCATGCCATTTATACAATTACCTGACAAAAAATTCCAAGAAATAAGATACGTGTCCTAAAATGATTCATTTCTACAACAAAGTGAGAAGGGGACTTTCAAGATATCTTATAGAGTGTACCGGGATATAAGTCCATGTTTAACTTTGTTATCATCCAAATTTCTACTCAAAGCTTTTCTTTAGTCTTTCACTCTTTTAACCTAAGCATGCCGGAGACACTTTCATAGCTGTTTGTACCTGACAAAAGTCCTTTATTCGATTTTCAAATTAAAGTTGTAAAATATTTATCAGATCTTTCATATATCAACACTTGTAAGGTGGCTTGTCAATCGATCCTCCCAAATGATGGACTGTAAAATCGGATGTCCATTCGACGCTTGAGGAAATATTCGCAAACTATACAGGAATCCTTAACAAGAAGGTTAACGAACTATGAATGTAAGCCCACGCTATTTAAAATTGCTAAAAATACGACCAGAAAATATTAAAGATATCTTTCAAAAATATGATATCATATTTTAGAATACATTCCTTAAATTCTAGATAATCAACAAGCATTTACAAAAAATAACTCACACATTAAAAACTGTTTTCAAGGAGGATTTATAAGCAATTATGTTATTATAATTTTAGCCATTTTTATGGGACATTTGACTTTTCGTAAAAATTTTCACCCTTCTATGTCACATTTGATTACTTTGATGAATTTCTATGATTATTATCGTTATTAATTCGATTACTTTATAATCATTAAATAAGTGGTTTGCTTCTATGTTATTGACTTACTAGCTATGTACTGCAAATTAACTTATCAGATTGGAAATGTACCGACAAACGTAGAGGTGTATCTTATTTACCGGTCTAGCGACTACAATGCCTGCCAAAAGTCATGTAACACACTGACGTGAGTATTCAAGGTCAACTTCAACCATCCCCTCTACCCTAGAGAGCGATGTTGGTTTATTTTAAAGCAGCATAGGAGATTACGAAGTACCTACTCTTGATTCATTTTATGATATTTGTCTAAAGCAACAGGTTTTTTGGGGGTAAGGGGGTGAAAGTAATAACAAACCTGGGAGAAGAAATGAAAGATATAAGATACAACACAATTTGCTAGGTGTTCCAACAACATTTGGCAGGCAATGTATGCACAGGGCTGAAGCATCTCCTCTTCGCTTATAAACTTGTGCGTTCTAAAATCTTGTGAAGAAAGGTGTTCTAAGGATGCTTGCTTGGGATATAATGCTTGGGATAGACAAATGTTTTTGAATCTTATGTCGTTGAAAATTTAATCCATTGCTTCACTACAACAATCCACCTTACCCTACTCCATCCACTATATCCAATTCCATCACACCGCATAAATCACTGCTAGTATTAACTCTGTATTGTGCATAAAAGCCTAGAGACTCGGACAGCAAGCTGCCAATAGTTAGTGCATGAAATTGTTTTTAAACTGCAAACTAATAAACAGAGGAACGATTATTGTCCTTTCCTTGGAACTAAAATGACATTTTGGTCTCATGACAGAATTAATTGCAGTAGTAAGCTACCAGCTCTCGTTTTCCGTAGAAATTAGAAAATTTTAAGCTAAATTGTATTGTCTGATGAGGAAACGAGTTGAAGGAACAGTCAACAAATTTTAGTGATTTTCCTGAAGGGTTTTGCGCCTACGAGTTCTTTGCTGGATGTAAAACAAGTCTAAAGAAGCACGAGGTTAATACTTCAATATGACCAAACAACTTAAGTCCGTTCCATTTACATTTTTGGGGACTGATTTTGCGATTTCCATAATGCAGCGGTTGCTTCTGCCTTACGGGAAATGATCACCTTTCACTTTATCTAGTCTCTTATAACTAAAGATGAGAAAAAAGTTCTTAAAAATAGGGTCCCTAGCGGTCCTATCTAATTCATGGTCTCGAGGGCAAAGGGGCTTGGGCAGATAAGTTTGTGAAACGTAATACGCTGAAGTTTCTGTCCAAAAAGGCTTCCAGATGTAAGAAATTTGTTGAAGATGTTTCTATGTTTCTTAGTCCCGTAAGACTTTAAGAATATTGTTTCTAACTTTTGCCGCATATAGCAAACTATTATTCTGAAGATCAACCTCAAAATATTCAGAAAGAAGGATATCCAGAATTGTATTGCTCCGAAAAACCTTACACAAAATCGTTTGTCATTGGTCTAATAGTTGCTAAAACATAGGTCAGCAAGAGTTCGAGTATGACGCAAATTGTAGTAAACTGAGTTGAATGCAGTTCCATTGGTATACTTAATGAATGTTAAACGTGCTTGTCTGTCCTCATATAAATGATCACAAAACCCTTAGAGAGTTTATAGACATTGCTTGCCTACAGGTACAAGGTTTAGCAAAGTTGTAATTCGCTAAGTAAATGCGTTCTGAATAAAAAAAGACAAGAAACCACCATCATATAAATGCATTACCTCCTAGAAAGCCAATTGAAGAAAGAAATAAATAGGGATATTTGAATGAAAATCTATAGAAAAGAAAGGCTTTATTTTTGGCTAAATGAATGTCAAAATTATGAAAGAATCATACGAAGAACTGAACTGTTTGTAGCTAACGCGTCCATCAAACTATTTGCCCATGTCAAATGTATATATAAAGTGAAATTTTGATTGAATAACACTGGAAATTCAATGTGAATGGTAAAGAAAGTGGCACTGCTATAAAAACGGTCTTTTTGAATATTACTAAGGAGCTCTCAACCAATCAATAACCAAACCAATTGTTGCTATATTGGTATTTAATAGGTATTTCGTGTACAAGTATAGGTATGCACATAAACGCTTCTCAAGGTTGGTATGCCCATAGACGCTCTTGCGCAAGGGACAAATCATTAATTTTCGACAAGTTCTACTTCATTTTGCCGATCAAGATAGATGCATCAATACGGTCGTAAAGATTGTAATCCTATGATGGTGATAGCAAGTAGTTTGAAAACGACGACAAAATGGCCCCATGTTATGAAGTGAGGTAACCAAAGGTGCTTTGTTACTTCATAGCGGAGAACAAAACATTGCATTGGCCTAGTACATGTTGCCAGGTGATAAATTTCAAAAAGCAATTTCGCTCTACTAGGACATCGTGGGAAGCTTTTTTGAGTCGCATTTGATGGCATGAAGGCTATGTTTGCTTAGAAACAATAGGGGCAAATAGGCAATGGAAGAGTCTGTGGCAATCTATAAAGTAAAAATCAACAGTTTAGGACTGTAGTTATCCGATTTTGGAGCATATAGACCTTATGGCTGTTAATTTATGCTGAACAGCAGACCTTACCTCAATTTATCTGATAATCACAACATTGTTTTCCAGCGACTGCTCTGAAGTTTGTGATGGTCGTAGGTTTGATGTCGATTGGCAAGACGAACGTTTTACTTGATGATAGAATTCCCCTACTCGTACACTGATTAAATGGTAATGTCATTTAAGTCGCTTTTTGTTTTAACTACCAAAGACTGCTTTGAAATGTCAAGTCGCCAATGAACAAACAAATCAAATTATGTTTGAAGAGCATCAGAACCTCCTAAGTCCTATTCAACATTAAACAATTTGAAAACAACACATGTATTCCAATAGGATTTCAGAATTTTGACAAAGAGGCTTCAACTAGCTTTTGGTTGAGCGGGGTTGAGCTCGGAGAGATCAGAAAGTTTAACTTATAGTGGCTTCAGTTCAGTTAGATTCATCCAATCATGAATTCCCACAAGCGTATTTGTCCGTTAGTTGATCAGTTACCTCTATCCTATTTCTTAAAACGAATTTCAGGATTGCAGAATAGATAGTGGGCCTTTGTTTTTCTCCTTTCTTTTTAGGATTAGTTGAATTGCAGATAACCTCTAGCAAATGTTGTGAAAAAAGAAATTTCTGTAACTATACGAAGGGCGACAGCACTAATACAAAGATTAAAGAAAAGCTAAAAGGAAAGTTGAACTGTTTACCGATGGGATAAAAGGAGAGAAAGTACAGACGAGAAAAAAATGGTATGAATGGAGAAATGACCTGAGCTGTTGCAGACAAAGAGAAAGGTTGAATGCAAAGAAAATGATACATGTTTGGTTGCGAAAGAGACTACCCGAATGAATGAGGGACTTGGAGAAATTCAGTAGTCGATTCTAATTGGAAAAAGACGAGTAAATTCTCACCATTTTCAAAAACTAAGAAATTGTCATGTGTCACGGCATTTGCAGGTCCGTCGCTTTGGGTAGAAGGGGTGCCCCCCCAAAAGTGGATACACGGTGGTACGTAAGGGTTTTGAAAAAGATGATGTCCTTTTGCTCTTGGTGTTTATTTACCTTCCTGATATTTCATCTTGGTCGTATTTCATCTAGGTAGTATTTCGTCTAGCTGGTTTTATGTTGCTCTTATTTCAACTTTGTCCATCTTTAAAGTTTATAAATTTTGGAACTTTATTGGAAGCTAGAATGTTCCTTTTCCTAAGAAGGTAGCAAAATATGTGGGTTATCGTATTATAACAGAAATAGAAGAGAATTGGAAAATAAAGGACAAATAGTAAGAAGAAAGAAAGAAGAAAGAATAATGAAAGAAAAAAGAAAGAAGACCTTTCTTCGGACGAGAAGAAAGAAGACCGATGCACGGACAATTCATAATATCAACATTAAGGCGGTTTAGCTCAAAGCGGTGTTGCAATGTTCGAATGTGGCATATACTTATATCTCTAGCATCGTACGTCTGTAGAATATTTCACAATTTCAAACGGAACACCTGTTTCAAACGCTTATTAGCCAATATAATAAATGAGATCTCATAAGCTACAGCGAAAGTCTGGCACACAGAAGAAGAAACTAACAAGAACAGCACCGCTCCAGTATTTCAGGTTGATTTCCAGGAAACCAGTTGACATCAACTTCACCTAGAGGAGTACATAATTTCAAAGGTTCATAGTTTCTATCGACAGAAAGTTTTAAACCTGTTTTTTATATTGATTCAACGATAGCACCTTCATTGAATATTTTGTCAGAGCAACTGTTGTCTAAAAAGTGTCCCGGTTTCAGTACTTCTCCGTGGTTCTCTTTGATTGTTGTACATGAATAGCCTGAAAATTTATATTTGTTTGGTTGGGTGGTTGATATTGCAATGTTAACGCTTCAAGGAAAGTTTATTCCCTGTGCTTTCAAACTAAATGAATGGAATTAAGCAATTGTCCATTAACTGAACGCATGCCAAGAATGACGTATAAAAACAAATAAAACACAAGACACTTTTGATCAAGCAAGTTTGCATTAAACTAATGCAAGATACAAAAGTTCTTTGTTTTATATTATTCTATTCGCAAACTGATTCAGTGTAGAAATCTTAACCTCATTTTCTGAGAAACATCACATCTGAATAAGTTACAGATCAACCATATTACGGTTTTAGAAATCTCCTCTTAGTAAAGATTAGGCTTAGATCATGTCACGCAAAGTGAAACAGAACGACAAAGAAACTTGTATTCAACACATTGTAAAATGAATATCAATGAAAATGTAGGAAATGCGTTTAATCGAATATACAGTTAAAAATTGAACTTGAAAAATAGGAATCTAACTACTGGAATTTTCAATACAAATACTGTTAAGAAGAAAAGCATTCGAAAATTAACAACTTTAAGCAAATTTTCCAGAAAAATCCACAACTAGCAAAATACATTTATCGGATAAGCAAAAAGATCTACAATACACAAAATATTGTTACTTTGGTTAGAGCTAGGGATGATGAAAAAACTGAATCTCAAAATCATATTTTGAACCATTAATTTACTAATTTAAGTTTACTTTCAAAAAAAGATTTTTTTTAATGTTTCGCTTGAGTCAATTTAGCCTTTTTTGCACTCAGGAAACATAAATATCTGAATCAAATGGTAACGTTATCAATTGGGTGACCATACTAGCATTTGGTTTATAAAACCAACTTTAATGCACCTGTTCTGTTTCAATTTAGAACCATTTAAGTGAAAAAGCAAATAAAATCCAATAATTTTAAAAAATAGCTGCTGATCTAAAAGTTTTCTTTAGACTTTCAATTTTCCTTGAAAACTATTTTTAAAAAGCTCATGATTGAAAAGCAGAGACTTGTCATCACATTCCTTGAAAGACAGTTATCCCAAATTTAAAATGTACATTGGTAGCTTTGAAGATTCAAGTCAATTACAATCAGACAGATGTACCTGCTGATGAAGGTAGACTAGAGCTGTAATGAAAAACTTCCCCATCTTCTTTTTCTTCCTCTATCTGTGGGTTCCATACAGGCCAACTGCGTCTCTTGTCTTTTAACTGACCCACACCTACAGTGGCCCTTCTTCTCTTATTTCGTTTTTCATATGTGGTATGAAATGAGTCACTAAGTTGTCTTAGCTTGCTTGCAACACTACTGGCTTCTAATGTCAATGGTGCTGAACGTGATCTTCGTCTAAGCGGCTCTTCAATACTTAGTTCATCCATTTTTCTAGACAACACAGACAAATCCATTGATGATGTTGTCTGATGTGCTTTTTCTTCATTGACAGGGCTTGGATTTCGATGGTTCCTTACAATTGGTATGTCCAATGGCTTTGACTTTTTCTTATCACCCATTTTGCTTCCTGAGAAAATTTTAGTCAGGAACAAGTAAGAAAACAACAACAATATTGTAGTAAAACTGATAAAATAACCATATTATAGAATTATAATGAGACCCATCAATGAAAGAGAGGGCAAATGGAATGATCATCTAAGGCCTAGTGGCAATAAATGACAATTTTTGAGTCTTAAGCTTTTTTGCAGCAAATTTTGTAATTTCCAATCAGAAGGAAGCACACTAGTTTCCCTTTTGTTTAGTCTCAAAAGGCAATATTTCCAAATTCAAAGTTAAAACCACTTCTATGTGGTTTACAACAACTCAGTTAAAAGTCAGAATCCTATCAAGCAATGTATTACCATGAGCTATGAAACAATAGATTGCCATTGGTTAAAATCCATAGGAATTTTACTTTCACACTGGTAAACCTTACTCTATTCTAGAATATGCAAAGGAACTTAAATGAGACGGCCATGGAAAGGAAACTCCTTAAAAGATTATAATGCAATAGTTGGCTTGTCCACAGTACACTATTCTGCGATCTATAAGACATTGGTCTACATATATTTTACATGATTTTATGATTTACAAAAAGCTTAACCATTATCTCGAAATTAATATAGTTATGTGGCTGCCCTGAAAGTCCACCCTAATTTCTGACCTTATCAATAAGCTGAAAGATTAACTTGCCACAGACTAATAATTGTACAAATGCTTGTACAAGTACACACAATTTGTCTAGCAATAACAAGAAAAGTGTTGAAATACCTGAATACTACAATTGTTTAAGAATTAAGAATTGGTAGGATTGTGTCAATGTGCATGCGGATAAAAGAAAAAGTTGTTAATAAATGATCTGCCCCTCAAAGGTATATGTTATGTTCGGAAATAGAAAGATAGAGTAATTGTGAGTGGTCTCTTTCAGCAAGAGGAAATAGAAAGAAAGGGACAGATAGACAATAGGATATGCAAACTCGTGCAATTACAGTAATGATTTTGGGTAAAAAAGACTCACAACTTTATCCTTTGAAATTCTATTTGACCTTTCAATTGATACCAAGAAAGATATTAAGAAAAAGCATGATTGTAAATTAAAAGAATAAAATTTGATTCAGAAAAGTGCCTGCAGAAATTTGGAGCATGAACTTTTGTGCCTGTGAGTGCTGCTCATGTGCTCGCTTAGATTAATGAGGTCTGATGCAAGAAGAAAGATAAGTAGGATAGTAATGATAAGTATACCAATGTTAAGGATACTAATGATAAGTAACAAATTTTGAATTGTATTTGCTTCTACCGAGCATCAAAAGGTAGTTTTTGGACAATGAGGAGCTGTGATGAAAAAAACCACAAAAGTCACATAAATGATGTGAGTCAATAAGAAACAAATATAAACTTTATCAAAAAGTTTTGCAACACTATGTAAGATACATTTTATATCTATAGGACTACAAATCTCTAGATGTTCCATTGGTAGTCAACCTTGGAATCTTAAACATTTTCATCTATAAATCATCTTATCAATATCACATTTTTGTAAATCTAAGTTTTTAAAAAGAAAACAGCCTATTTTCCCTAAGATAGAGATGTTGAAATTACATGATTTGTTTCCATTAAAACTTCAATATTGTCTATAAAAGCATCAATAGGATTTTACCTATCTGTTTTCACAGATATCATACTATAAATAAATTAATTTCATAGGCCTAAAAGAATAACCTTCTTTAACTCAGAAAAACATTCTTGAATACTGCATAAAACCTGTTTGTTTTACTGGTGTTGAACCCTGGAAAAGTGTTTATACTGCCATCCAAGAATCTGTATCCTTTGTTTGCTTTTATCTGCTTGTTTACAGGTTATTCTGCTTGCAAAAAGCATTGACTCTAGCCTCAAGATTTTTCACACTCTTTCTAATTTCTCACTAATGGAAATCTCTGTGAAATGTTGAAATATCTTTGTGCATGAAATATCTTTAACTGCTTGATTAGCTTTGCCACTAAGAGAGTTCCTTTTTTAAATTATTCCCCATATGCATTGATAATTTGTGTTCAACATATAATTGTGATAATAATTGCTTGTTATTTAATTCTTTGTAGTATTATAGTAGTTTATGGAAATGTATGTTGTTGAATTAAAAAAGTAATGATTCTGAACCTGAACCATCACATGCAAACAAGTTTTGAGAAATGGCAAACGCTCTGTCACGCATTTTCACGCAATGCTCAGAATAACTTAAAAATAAAAAGACAGATCAATATGTATACATAAAGTATGCACATTTATATCTTTTTGCTCGATTTCTTTCTAGAGTTTTCTTTGCCCTAGCAAAGAACGTTCAACTATACGCGTTGGGTAGGGCAACCCCAAGGAGGGGCCGTGCAACGCCTGAAACAATATATCATATCTCTAAAATTCAAAAAACCAATTGAAGAAAAATGAGTAAAATAGCTCACCCTGGCAATTAAACTACTTTAGACAATCTTTAATGTTTCAATTTGATAAAAATTTCTCCTAGATCGATCTTCAACAGTACCCCAACTTTCATTGTCGCTTGTTCTGGTTAATAATTTGTTTTGGTGTGCCTCTGTTCTATTTCGACTAGTTTCATTGCGAGGTTTTGATATTCAACTAACAAATTTAGGAGAGAGTAAGCTTTCGTTTTGTTTGTGGATTTGAACCCTTTTTTAATTTGATGTTAAGGCTAAAATTTGTGACTGTATCTTATTGGAAAATCGCATGTACATTCTCAGTTTTTTTAGGAAAATAAAAACCTTGATTAACCGTAGATGATGACGTAACATCCTGACGGAAATGAGGCTCTTTGTTGCCATTAATGACGCTGTCGTGGTTGTGGTTGTAGTGAATGCTGGCCTAACTGGTTACGTTTAACTGTGGTTTCAAGTTTTTGAAAATTTCGAAAATGTCAAGTGAAGAGCCGAAAGAAACTTTAGCAGGGCATCCTCCAGCAGGTATTTAGTGTAGTTAGAAGCAATATTTTTCTCAATTATATGCTTTTTGTGGGAAGTAATGGCACGAAATTCCAAATGATTGAATTTTTTCAGTTCTAGAACAATAAAACCACGTTGCAGAATTCGCTTATAATTCATTTTAATTTATCATGCGATTTTTTCTGTTAGGTTAGAGCTTGGGGCTCTTTTATCAATCCCTTCTAACATATATACGCACAATGCTAGCGTATCAATAATGCCGTTAATGATATTAAAAGGATATTAACAAACTCGCAAATTTGTGTGCTAAATCTTGGCCTAACCCCAAAAGATACTTTCAAAAGATATATTTGGTTTGCAGCTAACATTATTTCCAAATGGGTATAAAAACAGTGCCAATTATAAATAAGTCTTTATTAAGTCGTGATTATAAAGAAAAGTTCATAAAACTTTATAGTTCTTTCATTTATTATAGTTTTACGTTTTCTTGTTAAAGTCAAATTTACTAATCATTTTTCAATAGTAAAAGTTGGAGGTATGAGGGTTGGACAACATCACACCCATCACCCAGAATTAAAGACAGCAGAAAGAGCAAAACAGGAGGAAGAGTTCCAAACTGAAAAGTGTGTATTTTTTTCAAATTATTTTTATTTAGGCCTGGGTTCAAAACGAAATTTTTGTTTTTAGAAATTCTGTAATCAAATGTAACAATCATAAATTTCAGTCACAGAATGAGACTTCTAGCATCAATGGTCAAATCCCGTGAAAGCACCATGGAATGTCCCTGTCAAATTTTGGTAGTATAATGTGGTGAATATTATTACATCATTATTACAGAAAGTCTCTGAATTTTTCCACAACGTTTCTTTATTGATAGAAGGTACCACAAAATATGTACATTTGGGTAAATTAGAGTAGGGCAAGCAGATAAATTTTTCCACCCAATTTGGACCAAAAGTGTGCTCATTACCCAGCAAGAGTCAATAAATAATATAAAAATGATTTGTAAGCTGTCACAGCTAGGTGCAACCTCAGTAACTGTCCTAGAGGCAAGATAAAAATTTTTTGAAACTTGCTAAATCAGTCCCAAGCCTCCTTCCCCTGCATCATAAGTTTCTTAAAGCACAAATAACCCCAGGTAATAGGTGTAACCAATTTATTTGTTTCATGAAGTTATTTGCAAATGTGGTAGGGGTAAATGAGAACATATCAAGATTGGCTACTAAAAATGCCTTTGTTCCAAGAGAAAGAGGTTGGTGTTTTAAAAGGGGAAGGAAAGGGGTTTCTCTTTATTGGTATTTCAAACAGTCTAACCAGAAATTTCTTTTTCTGCTAGGCCAGATGAGGGTGCAGTTGTTGTAGGTGGAGCAGTGAGTAAAGGTAACAAGGATTTCTCTCCAGAAGCTGCAAGTGTTGCTCATCAAAAGCCTTTACCAACACTTCAGAAGACAAGCAAGGGGCCCAAGTCTCAAATTAGTCAACCAAGAAAATTTAATAATTAATTTGCTGCTTGCAAAACATTCTTATATTGATCAGAGAATGAAGAATAAAAAGTAATAAAACTGCTTTCATTCAGTAGCTTTGTGTTGCATTCCATTCAGAATTTTGAGCAATTTTTTTTAATTGATTTTATTAATTTTTGCTGTAAGTGCTTTACACATTCTTAGATAAATTCACAAAACAAAGGATATAATTCACACATCCACTCTTTGAAATTGCCAGTATTAATGATTCTTTGCAGAACATAGGATAAATAAGCTTGCTTACATATATCACACATCCACAACACCAATTTTATTTGGAGTTTTTCAACATTTCAACCTGATTTGGTAGATTTGCTTGAAAATCATGCCATTCAAATACAGTGATGATTGTTTCAAGGTTACATCTTGTATTCATTTATTCACCATACACATCAACACTTTTAAATAGGGGCTTCTATGTGTTAGCTTTTTATTAATTTCAAGATTTGAGTACTGTAGAGCTTTTGGTATTACTATACTTCCTGTTGCTATTCATTATATTTGATTTATCTTGTTGTCATTTATTTCTTACACCTTGATGTAACCAGAAAACCATTAGTTGCTCTTAGAAATAACCTGTGATACAATTTACAGTATTATTACAGAGGCACGCTTCAGTTGTTTGCATTCCAATAGCCTGTCTTCAGTCAGGCTCAAAACAGAAGAACTGGCAACAAAATTTTTGTGTATTGGGATTTGTATCAGACAGTTTGTAAAGAATAAGGATTTTAAGTGACCTCTTAATTCTTTAATGACCTTTAAGGTTGTAAGAATGATACAAAACAATAAACACTTGTTTATGAAAAAAAAGAAGAAAACCACTGAAATTCTGTTTGCAATCCTGGGTATTAATGTCAGTTATTACCAGACAAAATTTCAGCTATTTGCACACCAAATGGCTCTTCATTAGATACATAAGCTTGGAGTTTTTTCTGACTTCTTTTAAGAGGTCTGAAAGGATTTAATTTGGGTGCGGTAAAAAGAGCTGTTTTAAGCAAAAACTCTTGAGCCTATGTTATGATGTATGTATTTTACTATATATGTATCAATAACATCCTACATTGAAGGAATTAAGATTAAAATTTTAACGGTGTGACATATAAATGAAACTAATGCAAGGAAGATGATGCAATTGTATTAAATGGAAACATCTAAATAGGGCCTAAGGTAACAAAGAACTAAAAACAAAAACATTGAAATGCATTTGGAGTTGTATCAGCAATAAATTAAATTAGTAAAGGAAATTCTAGCTTGATCAATGACTAGATGTAGTATAAAATACAATAAGCTAAGCCTGAATCAGCATTAATGTAAACTTGAGTCATTTGTAGCACGAATAAGGATGATTTATTGTGCAACTGGATGTCTGAAGTTTTTCCCAGCAAATTTAGCTGCAGAGCCAAGTTCTTCTTCAATTCTGTAAGGAAATAAATTTACAAAGAATTATGCAAAATTCTGTGAAGTATTTTTAAATTTCTTAATATTTCAGCTCTAAAATATGGTAACAATAAAATTCACTTGTCGGTTGATACAAATTTGTCAAAAACATTAGCATTGAAAAAATTTAAAAAGTGTCATCTTTGCCCCAAAGGCTAGGCCTAATATGCATGATCCAAACGTTGACATACATACAGTGGCGGACACTTGGTCAAATATTGGGGGGGCAAGCCTATTGTTTTAATAAGATGACGTCACATTTCCCATTGTTTTAGAACAAAAGACCATTGTGCTCTAAAGTATTGGGGGGGGCGGTCGCCCCCCCAAGTGTCCGCCACTGCATACATACATTGACAAGTAACATTACTTACACTTTGCCAGATGATGGCATCAAGTGTGAAAATAAGAGAAGCAACTTAGAACCATCTCATTTTATATATACATCAAAAGTTTGTACCTTATTGTGTGGACATTACAGGTCAAAATAAAAGATCAGACAAACCTTAATAGTTGATTGTATTTAGTCAATCTTTCAGATCTGCATGGTGCACCTGTTTTAATCTGAAAGCAACAAAAGATGCAAGAACATTGATATTTTCTCTATTGAAAAATCCTAATGACCACAAAAAGCTCTGTTTACTGTATAAATTCAACTTTGAAATAGGTCAATAGATTGTATCATTTGTTTAGATTAAATAATGGTTTGAAGAGTTCACTGAAATATATTTAGATCAGCAAAAAGAGATAATTTGAGAATGATAAGATGGGCAAAACCAACTCAACATAATCTTAAACTGGTAAATAATGCTCAGGTTTTGTCATGCTCTCAATTAAGCAACAAAACACTGGATGTTTTTTATCTAAGGGCAAAAGAAAGAACATGGGATAATGCAATACCTGTCCAGCACAGAGCCCAACTACCAAATCTGCAATGAAAGCATCTTCAGTTTCACCACTTCTGTGACTGACCATTACTCCCCAACCATTGCTTTGTGCCAATGTACATCTATGGGTAAAATCCACATACACAAAATAAGAACTGACAATTGAAAGCTGAGGTTCTTTCATTTTTAATGTATTTCTTTTCTTATCTTGTCAAAGTTGAGCATATCTGTGTGCATATTTGCATTTTTATGTGATTTGCAATGCAAAACACCTCTATGTTTTTTCCTCTTTGTTACCTCGACAGCTTAGTAGTATAAGGCTTCAATGCATGTTTGTCAATTTTGCATAAAAATCACAGAATCTTATTCATGATGAACCAAATAAAGATGATGAACCAAAATTAAATCATTTTCAGACTTTTCTGAACCTATCTTCACTGGTTGTGCAATCAATGAAGAATATTTTATGAAATTTGTAGCTGCCTAAATTGGTATTGCTTGTAGAATTTCATTCTTAATGACCCTTTAGTTCAAATTGAAGTTAGCAAGTCAAGAGCTATCAGTTGAGTTGAGATAATTCATCCCTATTTCACTTCTTATCACCTAAAAAATGTGTGGTGAGGGTAACAGCAAACATTTAGCATCAACCAATAACTTAAAAGGAACAACAGATTGGAAAGTCTTATTGGTGAATTCTTGTTATTGGTGAACTGTGAAACATTTCTCAGGAGAAAAGCAAGAGTACATAAATTTCAAATTTTTTGGTTGGCCAGGAGATTCTTTTAAATTAAAAGAAAAAAGGTTAGGGGAGGGGTAAAATTTTTGCATGTATATTTTGTGATGTAATCCTATGGTTTTGAAACTGCCTTATGGTCATTCCCTACTGGCAAAACAGGCCTTTTCTGACAGTAAAAGAGGCAAGACCTAAACTTTTTGTTTCACCCCCACCCCCAGCCTAGTGGCATGCGCTGCCCCTTATGATATTCCATAGCAAATATTTCAAGAAAACTCCAGTAAAAAGTTTTAAATTGGAAATCTGTGATTAATCAATCTTTGTTTTATTCAAAAATAATTTGCCAATGTAAATCCATGGATAACATTGCAGCCTTTTTTTATGTCTAGAATATGCCTAGGATATTTTCTTTGTTCTGGGCCTTTAAACAAGGCACATTTGTTCAATATGCTCAGCCTAAAATTAAGACTATTAAAAAACTATCAAAAGCTAATTCTTTCCATGATACAGTTGTTAGGAAAGGCTCAAATTGAAGGCTAAATGGTTTTTTCAAATACTTAAAATAATGTATGCATTATTGAAAATTGGATAAAAAAGATAGAACTACTTCAAGAACATTTAATAGTATGTCACAGGGTCTTAATAACCCAAAGTGAAGTGCTCTAGACTAGTCAATGTCCACCACAAGATAGATGCTTTATAACTTAAACAAAGAAAAAAGCTTGATCTTACGCTTTAATTGATTCTGTCACTGATCCAATTTGATTGACTTTCAACAAGAGACAATTGCAAGCTTTCTTTTCAACAGCAGTTTGGATTCTGCAAAACAAGACAAAGAACAAATCCAGACAAAGAGAACAAATAATAATCATTTAAACCTTCTAACAGAAATGTTTGTATATTGATGACAAAACAGAATCATTTTTCATACTGATATGGCTTAAAAAATAGTCTCATGGCCATGACAAACATGCTACAAGCCTTTGCCATCTTCATCATATCACATGCCCACTTGGCCTTCTGGAAATATCTCACAAAATTATGAAATCTATACTCTAGCCACAAACTGAAGCAAAATATGATGTATGTGATATATGTGTGGGTGCATATTCATCAGACAAATGAAGTAGCAGGTAAAACAACCAATAGAATTAACAAGCTTTATCCTGTCAATGCAATGTCACCTGCAACAGTTTGGAATATGAAAAATTCAATGAAAATGAAATAAAACAATGGAAAAAATAACCCAAGCCCAACTCAAATTTATTTATTGGGCAATACTACCTTGCCGGGTTTGTCACTGTCAAGTCATCCCTAAAAAGAGGAAGATGATTACCATGAAGACAAAAATTGAAAAACTGGGTAAATATAAATTTTAAAAACATTTTCTTGAAAACCAAATAAAAAAAAGGAAACTGGAGCTTTATATTGAATTTTTGATCTTATAGCTCAAAAGTAGAAAAAATTCAAAAGGAAGAAGATGAACAAATAAAAATAGCAATAATTCTAAAAACCAACATTAAAAATATTTGTACACACATATCAACACCTAGAGAGGAAAACCATTCTGTTTCCAAGCTTGCTGAATAATAAAAGTGCCCATGCAATAGAGTTAAAAAGTGATGATGCCATACAAATCTTTTTTAGGAAATTTCAATTTTTGATCACATACCCTGAAAGGGCATTGTGAAATACCTCTAAATATGCAAAATCAGTTAAAGGTGAACACTATGAATTGACTGAGATATGGTCAGATGAGCACAGCTTCTTGCCCTATCAAACTTCTGTAATTTGGTCTTTGTTCATAACTTTGTGAACATAGCCAAAACAAGAGTGATCCATTAGCAAACTTCAAATCTTTTATTGGCAATATCTCACCAAGTTTTTGACGCATTGACCTTATTTTACTTATTTTTGAGTATTAATTTAAGTTCTTTTATGTTATGTGGTCAAAGTTCAAAAGTTCTTAAAATAGTTTTTGTGAGGTCACACTTATATCACACTGTTTTATGAGATCACACTGTGGGGTCATCAGGGAGCAAGGATCTTTCTCCTATCAATGTATGAAGTTATTGGAATTTGACTAGATAATTTATAAAGATTATTCATAAAACACATATTAGTATTAGTAGAAGCCCCAGATCAACCCCTAAAGTTAAGATCCTCAGGTTTAAACAGACATCCAAATAGTTTTAATTGATTGATGCAACAAAGAATATAATTAAAAAAGGAATGCCACAAAACAACATAAAGATCAAGCTTTAAGTGAGTTAGAAGGGGCTTTATACTTAATTTATTTTGTAAACAATTCTACCCAAAAACCATTCTAATCTCATCATCAATTTTATTACCAACTGATTAGTTATCTCCATAAGCATGTCCTGATCTAATAACACCAGGGGACTAAACAATTCCTACTTCCTTTTCTCAAATTATGTGAAATTCAAACTACTTATCAAGAAATAAAAAGACCCAGACTGCTATCAGCTTCTAATTAAATTATTAGGACAGAAACTTAAGACCATTTGTTTCTTATCTTTGAAAAAATAGAGCAACTAAGGAATTAAAAATTATCAGCTAACCTCTGTTGGAGGAAATAAGACCTTATTTTTGAATCCATAGCTTGTAATTTTAAAATTTTTTAGAAAAATTTCAATTAGACTTTCAAGCCCTGGTACAACAAGATTACGAAAAATGATACTATAAAGCTGTCAGTCATCTAAATTACTCTCTGAAAAAACCTTTTGTTTAGAGACCCTGTTCAGTACAAAATGCTCTTTATAACAATGTTATGGATGCAACTTCAAGTTGATGATACACCTTGGTATACATATAGGGCTTCCATATAAAGTTATCTCATTCTAATGTCAAAAACATGCAACTATAAGTTTCTTGAGTAAAGTTTTTATTTGTCTCAACATGAAACACAAAATATATATTCTGATAAAAATTACTGAACACAAAATTTAATATTCATAAACATTTAATGTTTTTAAGAGAGTAAAGGGCAGCAGCTGTCTGTCTGCAAAATCAAAGAACCTGCTGGCTAGAAAAATTTTTGGTAAACAATAGTCAACAGAATTAGGGCGTTGGACAACAGAAAAATAGGGTGCAGCCATCAAAGTTTAGAAAGGCATATCTCAAGAAGGACTAGAGATAATGAGCTCATACTTTAGGAAAGTATTTTTGGAATAATGGAGAATGAATATACAAAGTTATAGTAAAATCGAGAAATGTGGGTTTCAAAATCAATATTTCTGTGTTAGATTGAGATGGAATGACCCGTATACAATTGAGTGCCTGCATGTTTGTCACATATTTTTATAAACTTTAGGCTGAAATTTGTTTCTTGACAATATTTGGCTTCCTTTTGCAACTGCTTTCAGTATGAATATTATTCTAAAGCAGACAATTTCCATATATCAGTGATGAGCATATTTGTAAACTTTAAGTAATGATAACAAAAACAATATAATTAACACTTTAAGATTGGTAATAAGTATATTATTATATGATTTGTAAGCAGTCACTATCTATATTATGAATTAATAATTGAATCAGGAAGTATGCTCTCTATCCTTTTTTTCCCATGGTTCTTATAAACTGTAGTTTATACCATTAGGGGGTAATAAAAATTGTTATCATTAAAAATATTACTTATTATTAGAACAGCTGCTGTTTTTATCCTATTTACTATTCATATTCACATATATTGAAAAAGCAATGATATATAATTTTAACACTTACCCAACAATCTGAATTTGGACTGCTGCAGTCAGGTCAGACCATGCCTCCCAATGATCTTGATCAAAAGGATCCTCAATTGAAACAACTGAAATTAAAAATTATATATGTATAAAAAGCTAATTGTAATATTTCATATAGAATTTTGTAGTTTACATAGCTTGAAGATATATACCTAAAATGCAAACAGGCTTTTTCAACACATTCCATTTCAACACTTTTCCAATCATTTTCTCCAAAATCCAATTCGAAATCTTGCTCAAAATCAGATTGCATTGTATTTTAAAAAATTACGTTAATTCGCTTATTTTACTTATTTATGTGAAAATAAATCTAATTTAACAAGGAAACATTCAATAAAGAAGAAACTTGTGTTTGTAACACCTGATTTAAATCATGATTACCTGGGTATCCTGCAATAAATTCTTTGTACAGGTTGGCAAGTTGCTGTGCACTGATCTTTGAGACAAACATTAAGTGCAATTAGAGAACTGAAGATGAATTGAAGTAGAAATTCATTTGTTGCAACTTGCTGGAGATTGATGGCCACCAATGGGGTTTGGTCATGCATATTTTTCTGATGACTTGAAAATTTGTTTGGACATCTCTAAAATGTTGTGAAGGTCATGTGACTTTGCTGTTATTAGGCCATTCAACCCTTCTGCATATTCTGTTGTTATATTCAGGCAAATCTTAAGAATCCTATGTTTTCAAGGTTATACTTTAAAAGTTGAAGCATTTTCTTAACTTTTTATTCCACTTTGGGGATACACAGGCCTAGATTACTTGGAGAAAGACTGCTCAAATCTGGAAAGCTTTCCATTGCAGAAACCAAATCCAACGCAACGCCGTAATTCGTTTCTCGAATTTGTCCCAATACTTTTTGAACATAAGTGTAGTAGTTATTGGAAATCAAATTCACTCTTTACTAAATTTTAAACTTCTACTTTGGAAGACAAGAGGAATTTCAATCCACATTTACATACAACTTTTGACCCATCATTATTCTTTGTCTTGAAGTCAAGATCATAATTCTTGTCTTTATGGAATTCTGTTGAGGCAATTTTTCAATTATTAGAAAAATGAAAAAAGGAAAACTATCAGGTCATTTGAAAAGACTGTTTGCAAAAATTCACCAAGAGAGAAAAGGAGGACATGTTGATATTCTAGTCTGAATTTCAAACATGTTTGACATGTAAAAGTTTCTATTTACATCAATTCAAGCAATACCAGTCTGAGTGTTTGCACTATTAGCCTTGAGGAAATGCATGTGACACAATTTAAGCTGAATATCTCTAGTCCATTGGTATGATATCCATTCCTTGCCCTAGGACTTGTGGATTAAATTGTAAATTGTGGATTACCTGAAGCTGCAACGTCCATTCCTATATCAACTTTACCAGTGTAACCAGCCTTCTCAATGCTGATCTTCAGAAGATCCAGACCTTAGCATAGAGGAAAAATGATATTCAAACCATCAAATGAAAGTATTGCATATTATTAACCTGGAAAACACGCAAGCCCATAAACATTCATTACCCGTTCATTTCTGAAACATTCACAATAAAATACAACAAATGGTCTTTTCCAACTTGATATCCAATAAGAAGGATCCAGATCCGTCTCTCTACATATCTTGTACATGATTTAAGTAATTCAATATGAACAGTTAACAATTTTGTTCAAACATTGCATAAAAAACATTGACCTTTGACAAAACTATTTGTGTTCTTTCCTATGAATTTATAAATAAGATGCTATGGCTTCCCAAAGGATAAGTTACACCAATAATGTTATTCACTGAAAAATAGCCATTGTCCACTTTAAGAGAAAACAGTTCCTCAGCATTTTATAAGGCAAATACAAATATGAAAAGTAATTGTATCTTTTGATTCAACACAGTATTAAAATTGATGATGTTTGAAAAAGAAAGGTAGTCTTCAAACCTTCCTTATTGTCCTGGATATTAGGAGCAAAGCCACCCTCATCTCCAACATTAGTAGCTAGAAAATAAATAATTCATAGTATTGAAAAGCTACATCAAAAGATTTAGGAAACAGTTTAAAACTGGAATAAAACTTCCCAAAAAGGATTGCATAGCCTGCTTTTAAATATCAGAATAAGGCATAATAGGCAAAATTATTACAACTGTTGGACCTTAAATAGTACCTTTTGAGATACTAAATAATACAGATAATATTAAATGGCTCAGAACTAATGCTACTTATATTAGTGTTACAAAACCTACTTTGTTGATAAAATCGTAACTACCAACATTGTAATTCCTTTGGCACCACTCAAGAATAATGCCTTATATTTGCATTTAAACCAATTTTAATGTCTAATTAGAAGGTTGCAAATATACATATCATAAATCAATCTAAATCTTAAGCATACAACTTATGAAATCCAACATATCGATGACATTAAAAGCTCTTTGCCAGAATGGGATAGGTTCAATACATTTTTGGTCCAGACTCTGTCACTGGCATGGAGGATATTTTATAGTTATTTAAGATCAAATAAATGACAAATGAAACACATGCTTTAAAATAATACCATCAATCCCATATTTCTCTTTGATAACACCCTTAAGTGTGTGGTAGATCTCACAGCCCATTCTCATAGCCTCTTTGAAATCCGATGCACCTGAGAACATAAAGCAAAAGTGCATGAGTAAAGTTGATAAAAAGGAAAAAACCTTCAGCTACATTTTGCCATGAATGAAACATAGTATCAAAAATTGAAAAGTTGTTGAATACCTGTAGGCAGAATCATAAATTCCTGCATTGCAAGCTTATTTCCAGCATGACTTCCACCATTGATAACATTGAATGCCTAGTAAAATGAGGATTTCACCATTATAATAAATGGAAAATCAAGAATATGGTGAAAAATTAAACAAAGATGTTAAAATGATAATCAATGAAGTTGTGTGTGTTTTAACGTCAAAACTGAACAAGATTTGGTACAATAAAAAAACAACTTTGTACAAGAAATGAATATTTAGTATGATGTTTCAAGCATAAATGTATTGGAATAATGATAGTGAATAATTCTTAAAATCATTAGTGTAATTTTGGATAACATTCATACTGTTTTCAACAGGGTTCTCCTGAGATTGCTATACTTAAAATATCTCAAGACACTTCTTTCTGAAAAAATAAACTATTTTGCGAACAAGCAAATAAGAAATTTATAATTCTCATTTGAATTTATATCACATATCATGCACAATATGAAAAATTGACTCTTGTTTGTCTTTCTCATATACACAACAATAAATTATGTCCTAGTCAGCGGTCTAACAAAGAAGTCACTTTAGACTAAGGACATAACACTTTCGCATTATCACAATTACAGAAACCATTTGTGAAATGAAGAACTTACTGGTACAGGTAATATTACGTCATTCTTTCCAGCAAGAGAAGCAATGTGCCTATACAAAGGTACACCCTAAAAGAAAATTTGAGAGCATACAGCTGTTTTATTTGTACTCTTTTATATATATAATCAGGAAACACAACATATTTCCCTATTTCCCTGGAAGGATATTTCATTAACTATAACAGGTATACACAATGAAGGCAATGGAGATATTTACCATGAATACTAGAAGCCTAGGTATAGCTTGACATTGAATTTTTGAAGGAAATAACAGCTCAGTAAATCATTCAGTGAATACACCAACAATGTCCCTAAATGTCTGTCTGAATAATGTCTAGTGTCTAGGTTGCCAAAAGAGGACTTATTGATAGCAGAATCCTTGAAACGAAAATACATATGGATGTGTGTTGAGCAGTGGTGGTTTTAAGAGGAATCCAGGGGGCATGCCCTCAGGCCCCACGCTTATGGTAGCCAAAAAGAGCCCCACACCTAAGAAAAACAATAGAAATTGTAAAGAACAAGGGCCCTGCAGATGTTTTTGGCCCTGGGCCCTGCAGTCCTTAAAACCACTGCTGATGTTAATTTCAGTTGTTTCTAGTTAATTTGACTAATTTCAATTGAGATCTTGTTTAACACAGATTTCATATTTAACACAGTTTAGTGAAGTACCTTGCTAGCTGCACCAGCTTTGCAGGCAGCAAGGGAAACTGCTAATATGGCATTAGCTCCAAGAGAACCTGTCCAAAAAAGATGACAAAGAATGAGCCATTAATACCATATTAAGGATTGGATCAAGCATAATGGGAAATTTTCACTGGAGAAGTTATCATGTCTTTCTTTGGAAACAATCAAGGGGTCAAATTGAGCAACTCAGAAACAAACAAAAGAACTCAATTGACCTTTGTTTGGTGTACCATCCAGTAGAAGCATGAAGTTATCAATCTCTTCTTGGTTGGTTACATCAATGCCCTGTTGAAATTTAACAATCCATTACAATTGAGCAGCAAGTTAAATGATTTAATCCAAAATACTTCATATGAAGGGTTAACAGACATTACTAGCTACTTCTATTAGATGCAAATTCAGTTTTGTTGTTGTTTATAAAACTGGAATGAACCAAAATAACCTGGAATGCCCTGACAGGAAATGCTTAACAAAAAACTGCATATAGCTGTCAAAATCAACTCTAACAAAATGATGACCAAATGATGAGAAAAAACTTATGAACAAATGATGAGAAAATAACTATTTTAGAACCAGCTTAATTCAATACACAATTTTTGAAAAATATACTTTAATATAAAAAACCAAACAATGAGTTGGTTGAAATTATATTGCATACCTAACTGAAGCAAAACAAACAATGCCCATTACAAAAAACATGCATCTAGATAAAAAGAAAATGATTACAAAAGGCAAACCTTGGAAATAAGTCCTGGTGCTATTTTTGAATTCACATTATCAACAGCTTTTGATACACCTTTGCCAAGAAACCTTTTTGGATCTTTGTCTCTCAGCTCAAGGGCTTCATAAATGCCAGTGCTAGCACCTGATGGGACTGCCGCTCTAAACACACCTAAGGGATGAAAATTCAGGGTAACAAATTACTTGAAGATAAAATATATACTTAATATTTGGGCAAATTTCATATAAATTAGGCAAATATTTGCTAAAACAACCTTTACATTTCAGTTTTCAAAAGGTTCGTGACAGAAGCACTAAGTGTTGATACATATTTTGTGTACTCAAAAAAGCAAACCTTTCTCTGTTGTCAAATCAACTTCTACTGTTGGATTGCCACGGCTATCCAATATCTCTCTTGCATGAATTTTTAATATTTTTGCCATGTTTGCAGTATAGCAGGATCTACAAACAAAAAAGCAAGTCACAACCTCTGAAACTAGATTGCAAGACAAACAATGAATGCATTTTCCCAGATGATGTGCACAATCTGAATTTGTTGAAGGAGCAGTATCTTGGTTTTGAAAACTAACCAAAGGGTGTTGGGTAGGGTTAATTGCAACAAACACTGATACTGACAATATCACTGTCAATACTGACAAAATCATAAAAGTGCTTGGGAACAAAGGCCCTTCTTTGCTGAATGTTGCTGACCACTGATTGGGTGTCTATACTATAGTATATTGTCCACAAAGTTTCTTGTTCACAAAACATGTGATATTGAAATGCCCTGACCACTGTGTAGCAGGCAGTTGTTTCAGCAATTTTCTGAAAAGTATCTAAGTAGGGCCATGTTTTTGCTTGGCAGCGAAAGATTTTTTGAGTGCCAGGCACAATCTTAAGTCCTACATGGGTAATAAGAGACCCCAATAAGCAATTTTTTTCTTCTGCCAGTATTAGCTTCAATCGAATTGTCTCGACAATCCAATGACAATGTAGAAAAACTCCATTAAATAATTAAGAGACAAAATTCTCAGGACGGCAAGGCCCATGCGCAGAAAATTGACAATAAACCTAACACTGTAGTTTCTCAGAGAAATGGAATATGCTAGTCAGTAGATTTTTTATTTCTGGGCATCAATGGCTTTAGGGTAAGCATAGCTCATTTCAAAATATCAAATCAAAATACTGAGATATGAGATGACTCCAGTGCCATTCTGTGGTAATCTATAGGGTGTGGCCTTTAAAAATTTCCTAGATCTCCTTCTTTAAACTCACAAAGCCGTGATATTTCATTGAGCAACCCTGAAAAGTTATGCCTCATATTTCACTCAATACACCAATCCAACTTACAATTTTGCTTTGAAATTTCTCCAAACTTCATTATACAACTACTTTTTAAGCTCAGATTTGGTTTTATCATCATAATTTTAGGCTGGATACAATTTTTCATCTTTTTGTGCTTGTATTTTAGATTTTATTGGGAAATGAAGTTTGAAAACTTTTAAAGGACATGGGGAAACTTTATCCCCCTAGTCGCCAATCATGGTCAAACCCCTTATAAAATTTCTATCTTTATGTTGCTATTTAATCAATATCGTGGGCAATACTACAATGCAAACTTCCAAGTAGACTAAAACCATTGCGCTCAAACAGAATCTGAGGTCAAAAATGTTGTACAAAAAAATTTGAAGATTTTTTCAAAATGAGGCCGTAAGTCAAATTGGTGTGGTGTGTGCATTTTCATGCTAGAGCTTTTCAAATCAGGAGGAGAGTATCACCTAGAGAAACTCAATCTGCCCATAATTGGTATGTGCAGCCCCATGTAACAGTTTATAATAGACCTATATATGATCTACTATAAGTTTTAGTACAATATATAGTGTTTTTGTAGAAACCGGATTCTTCATGTTCGCCCCCTATGTTTTTGTGTGCATTAGACAAGCTTCTGAAAAAATCTTGTGTGTGCAAATGCCACACTCTGCAGACAGACTGGTTGACCAGGCCTCTTTCATTCCATGACACCAGTTCTTCTTCGTAGCACCCAACAATGAGTTTTCTTGGTGTGAAGAAAGGGATAAAAGCTGAATACATTTTATTGGGAATCGTACCTGAATGCAGAAAATAATCGTAGAAACCGTGTATGTTCCAGAGAAGCTTAGGAGGCGGGCACAGGTTTCCGTCCGATAACCAGATGGTTTGCTCAAGGAAGGGACCTCGGAGAGGAACCTCGTTTCAAAAATGCACAGAAAACAAAAGAGGAAGAACGTGTCCAAAATAGGAAAAACAGGTGCATGCCACGTGAGCAGAGAGTAGACAAATCAGATACATCGACAATTTCCCAGGAAAAAGTTTTGGAAAAACTACAGGATTTTCGGATGCTTTTGGGAATTCCAGATAAACACTTTTCAGAATAATAGGAATGCTAATACACTTTGTAATTTCACGTTAATCACTCGTGGAAGACCTCAACTAACTTAAGTTTGCAATAGAAAACTCAACAAACGGTGAAAGTTAAAAGCAATGAGGAATACTAGCATTGCAATCATATTGCAAATTGCTACCATCGTCACAATTTGATTTAATGTAGATCAATTGAAGGCTCGTTACATTTTTGTCCAACGTAGCTTTCTCCCTAGCAGAAAAGTGAGAGGTGTAGTAAGTCAAGCCTTCTTGAGTATTATAAAAAAACTCCGTCATAACCGTTGCAAATGCATGATAAAAAACGAGCCAAACTAAGAAATTTGTAGTAGCCGTGACATGCGAATCACAAAATATTGTTCAAGAACAAAGTCAAGAAATAGTATGCACAATGACTAAATTTTATTCACATAAAAAGGTACCATAGAAAGTCAAAATTTTGCATGTTCATATAGAATGCAGTTTCATGTGTGAAGTGTAAGAATTAATAACACAGTAATGAAGTGTCTGTTTGGTGATGTTTGAATAAAAAAGTGATCGCTTCACAAATGATTGTTTTCTTTCTTGACCTTGGTTCTTAGTCAGCTTACTGCTGGGCTTGACACATGCACAGTCGTTAAAACTGCTGATGAAACTAACTTACTGATCTGATTGGTTAAGACCAAACTATTTGCATTTTGATTGGTACAAACAAGCTACATCCCTTGTCCCCTCATTAAGCAGGCTGATTGTTCAATAATATATACTTGACTTGTGTTAGCGCATAACCTTATGTAGTTATGTACAGTTAAATCCCGTTAAGTCGTACCCTGGATAATTCGTTTTTCCATTAAGAAAGACTGATTTTCAATTCCCATTGCATTCTTTTACCTTATTTATACCCTAATTCAAGTTATTGGTCCCCCTTGAAGGTATGACTTAACAGGATCCAACTATACTTCTGATGTGAACTAGAGACCAAAGAGGTGTGGTGGATAACAAAACAAAATGCAGAAACACTTTTTTATAGAGACAAATTTTGTGAATAGTCTAAGCTTAAAGCAATATTAAACAAAAGGTGCGTTATTAATCTACAATAGTAAAAACAGTTTGCAGTTCCGTGCAATCAAATATCAACAACACTTTAGTGAATAGATACATCTAAAATTACCTACAATAAAACAAAGAAATAACTTAGAAATTACTGAAAGTAGAGCAAATCACGTAGCATTTTGAGCCCGTCATTAAATGATATCGGTAAAGATCCGTGCTAAATATAATACGTATAAACTCGCAACCACTTGATGCCAATAACTACCATGGTTTCATACTATCCACAAGTTACTCAAAATCTGTTTAAAGTATACGAACTAAAACTGGCAAAAAATTCACGTGATTTTTGTCCGAAGGAACGTATGTATTGGCTACCGTTGTCACTTATCCGTCAAAATACGGATTTATGTGCAGAAAGTGAAAAAAGCAGGTTTTCAAGGCAAAAATACTTAGCAAAACGTTAACACCGCTGGAATGTTTTCCTGATATGTTTGCGAAAATATTTACGGCAATCAACTATCCGCTTGGCAAAATTATAAATCGAGATCCTTGATTTTATCTCTTTCTAGTTCAAAATGCATCTCTCAATGACTTATCTGCGAAAACTCTTACATGTAAAATGTGCTTAGTGTTTGAAACAAGTTTCATAAAAATGATTAGAAACTGAGAGAAATATTGCAGTTGAAAGTATTTCATGACAACACTGATCTGGGGTTTATGATTCGCAATGCAAGAACACTGCAGAAGTATCAGGTGACTGTACATTTGGTTGTAACCGTGAAAATGATTGATATTGTGCAGCCTTTATTTCCCAGGAGACCCAAGAGACCCAAGAACTTTCTACATTTTAATATCAGTTTTTGCATCATCTAAGTCACATCCGCGAAGGCTCTTTTGCTTGATTTCTTCCAACTTCTTGGACCATGTCTTGTAGAATGCCATCACTTCGGTAATCATTGCATCCTCCAGCTCTTGCGCTTGCGCAGCTACAAGTTCCTCAAAAGTAGTATGTGGGCTCAGAGGCCTTTCAACAACTAAGGAGAGCAGAGCACAATATGTCATGTGACCCTAAGAAATTTTTTCTCTAAAAGCAACTTGCAAACCAAGCTTTATCGGCCTTTAAGTTTAAATAATGTAAATAGATATTCAAGAGTCCCCTCGAGTACCTTTACTTCGAGGACATGCTCTTATTAAGTTTACATCTTTCATCATGGTAGCTTCAACGACTCAGTTCGCAAAAAGTGTTTTATACCACAAACTCAGACAATAGCGGTGATGAATTCAAATTTGACTTACGTGTTTTCGCTTCCTTTGGTTGACGTGGCCTGTAATAGAAGTACTCCCAAGCAACGCCAACGATGGTGAAGAAGGCAATCATACCAAGACATGAAAACACAGCTGCTTGGAAAATCTCGGAGTTCGGGTCAAACAGACTGCTCGACTTCTCTTCAGCGGCACTTTTCGAGGAGTCCTGTAGGCAAAGTAACAGAATTTATGAACGTTAAGTTCTCCTATGTAGTTAACCTTATCTCGCTAGTCAATGGCGGCGCCAGCCACTACGCTCTTGGGGGTGGAAAAACAAAAAATTTAGGCCACGCCCTTTCAGCACTAGAAAACGCCCTTTTACAAACAAAGAAAGCCAATTGTTTGAAAGGAACGCATATAACTAACTGTTGGCTATGTAAAGACAGTTTATTCATCCACAAACATTTTCTCATCGGATTTAGACGAAATACAAAATTGATCCTGCCGAAAACTGGGGGGACGTGTCCCCCGTGGCACCGCTACTGTCGCTAGTACAAATACACTCCAGACGGGAAAAACTCACCAGTCATTAGAACCTTGAACCTTGTGAAGAGGGCTCTTCAAGTATGAGTCTAGGCAAAATCTAAATGGAATCCTTTCAAAAACCTTGCCTGATTAGAGAAACGACTTAAACACCAGCACTATGACGGCATCAATAAAATCTATGCATTAATAAACATGAATTATACTTTTGGAGGTTGAAAAGAAATGCAGCTCCAGAAATATTATTGGAAATTAAGAACCAAAAGTAAACTTTGTATACAAAATCTATCATAATTCGTTTAGGATGCCAGCTAGGTTAAGGACAGTTGTGGATCTAACCATCCCTATCATCATCTCGGCATAAGTTAGTCCGATTAGGGACAGGGGGTGCTTTTCTGCAAAACTAACACCCAGCAAAACATGTTGCCTGTCCAGATTCACTATTTCCCCCTAAACTCTCTCGTAAGTTGAGGTAAATTCCAACTAACCGGTAGTGCCTCCATCATTTCCTGGATGGTTCTTGTGATTTCACTTTCCATCGTGCTGAGTTGTCGCCTCAAACATCTCTCGACATCGTTATCATTAAGTGCATTCGCAATAGCGAATCCATAAGCAAACTGGTGATCGAAAACAGTCGCTACTTTTAGGCCTTTGGCTTGGGAGAGTAGGTCTTTGTGAGCACCCGCCACGTAACTGTCAATCAGCCCACCGACAACTTTGTCTTTGGGAACAAGGATGGCTTCCTGGAAGTTCTTGACACTTGCATACTCTAAAGCAGCAAAAATGGCAAAGTCAGCGTCAGAAAATAACAAAATCTTTGGTCTGTGACTGTAAGGGTGATTTTTACAAAGCGAAAATTTTCCAATTAATACTGAAAAATACTGAATTGGAATGTATCATTTTAGTTATAGCAAAGCCAACATCACTATGCACTTATAAACTCTAAGAGATGTGCTATACTATGACTTAAATGGCATTACCTTTGACTTTTGCATTGTTCTTGATGCCATATCTTTGCTCTTCCGTGTTGCTCAGGGCTGCAATCTATGGTTGAAGAGTGTTATTTTAACCGCGAGTGTAAGGGGTTACAGGCTACAATTTATGCATACTTTGTAATTGTTAGCGAGGATGGTTTAAAGATAAGTGGCTTTCTACTTGCTTCTTCTTTGGGGGTAACAATTATTTGCTTCTGAATAGAGAATAAGGATGGCACAGTGAAGCGAAATCAAAACGAGTTATTCTTACTATATCTTGGTGCAACAAGAATATCCCACATAGTAAATGCTACTTGGAGAGGGGGGAGCCAAACTCTCCCTTCGGCAACTCAAGAAAGGACTGGTAAAAGCGGATGCGAACGTTGACCAATTAGAGGAAATAAACAAGTCTAATGAACGAGTTAGAAACAAGTGGACTTGATAACTACGCCAACCCAAGGCACAAAGTCACCGTGTTACGACACAAGGTTGCATTTCCCCCTTTCCCACACGATCCTTTTACGCAGAATTTTTAACAAATTGAAATGAAACCATATCTTATAGGGCAATGAAGGCCATGCAATACAAATAGACACAAACCGTTGCTCCGTAGATGCTGACGTCATTGCTAAGCGACAAAGCAGTCAGTGATGTTGTTACAGTAGCTGTAAAAATGGAAATGATGACCAAACCAACAAGGACCCAGAAAAAGGCAAAAACCCTGGCAATAAACGATCTTGGGGCACGATCTCCATATCTAGAAAGATAAAACAAAATTCGCATGTCTTTACGTCATAATTTAAATTTACGTCATAAATTGTGATAAAAATCAATGTCCGACTAAACATTTCCGTCACAGCTGTTGATTGAGGTTGAAAGTTTGAACTGCATACGAGGAAGATGCAAGGTTATCTGTGAATATTAAAGACAAACTCAGAAGAATCACTTTCATGTTAAGCGGCATTAAATCGATCAGCTACTCGTTTCCTCGCAGCAACCGGAGTTGAAAGAAAAATGTAAAAATGATAAGACTTTACCCCACAGTTGTCATAGACACGAACGCCCACCAGAAACCTTCCCATGCTCCTTTGAAGAATGAATTTGGGAACTGATCAGGGTTCCAGTAAGAATCCTACAAAAAATTAAAAATGCTATATCTTAGACGGAAAGTATGGCTGTCAGCAAAAGAGACTGTACTTTTGTAAGTTGGTATCTAGCAAAGAGAAAACAGTCTGAAACTACGTGAAACTCACCAGTGCCCACATAACTATTCCAGATAGGGCAGCCATGATCAATGTTAACACTAGAACTGGCCACCCCTGCAGAACTGCTTCCATAACAGCTTTAGCAGCATTTCCAGATTCTTGAACTTTCTGTATGTAGATTACACCGGGGGATTCCACTAGTGGGAAGTATGGCTTATTATGGTATTTAACATCAGTCATGCTCCCATAAATCGGCATCGCAATCATGGTACTGTTCCCAGCTTGACATAAAAGAAAAAAACTCTTTAGCAAAGAGATATAAAATATACAATAAAAATTGTTACTTTGCTAAAACGATCACAGACTATATTTTGTCTGTCTCCGAAAAAGATTAAAAGGGTAAAACCATTACCCACAAACCTACTATTAACAAGGGTAGTAAAGACCAAAACCCAAACGTTTGCTTTTTGCAATAATTGTAATAACCATTGCAAAGATCTTTTCTTGTGTCAAAGGTCTTCCGTACAAAACTGAATTTTTCAATAATATATTTTGTAAATGAAAATAAAACCTGACCAGGAGACGCCATTTTATTTCAATTATCTAAAAAGTCTAGAACGAGTCTAAAATATAACTTTCACAAAAATAACTTGTTCTGTATTATGTATGTTTTGTTATAAAGTTTAAGGAGTGATCATCAATAATATGCTTGAAAAAATACAGCTGAATTACAGCTAAAATACAGATTTTATCCAGAGGAAGAAAATATTGGATTGGGTAAAAAGACATATCATATAACGCCTAAATGAGAGAACGCCCAGAGAGCTTGCCCAATGATTGTAAAATTGTCTGTATATTACAACTGCGCACCCAGGATTTTCTAGTAAGTTTTCTCCACCATAGTTTTAAGGCATTGTGGGTTTTGCCTTCCGTCTATGTTCGCTAAACTCCGCCTATAGGAGGGGCAATTACAATGACTGCCACAAGTCACTGAAGCAGTTTTTACCTGAAGCTTTTGTTAAATTATCTGTTTTAGACAAAATGTCAGGCACCCCCCTCTGTACAGAAATGTTGAGAGATAAAAACCGATGCGGCAAGACTGTGGCATTAAAATAATATTTGCGGAATACAAAAACACCTGATTCACTAGACTTTATTATATTATTTGTACAGCAATGGCAGTCAATTTATACGTACACAGTTCTGCTTTCAGGTCTTCTGAATTGTTGACGATTTTCTTGTACTCAATTTGTGCGCATTTTCCACAACATTCCTGAAGCAACTTGCTGAGGATATTGGGGAATATTCCGGTAGGTGACAGGCCAGCGGTTGTTGGTGCTTTGATGTAAGGCGGAATATTCCAGTAGCTCACGTGAATGCTTTTTTGGCATGCTTTTCGCTTGGTTGTGCAGTTTTCTAGAAATGGTTAAAATAGAAGTGAATAAAGATTCTCACTTTTAAACACTATTTTGATAAGAATAAATTAGTATTGACAAGAGGTATAGCTTAAAAACGGGTTTGTCGACAACCTGTCTAAGAAAATGTTTACTGGATTCACAAGCATTCATAAGACACATTAGAAAGACCATCATACAGTCTGGTAGGTTCACAGTGCCTAGACATAACACTGCACGGAAAATTGCAATTCAGAATATCTTAGCGTCTGCAGATTGGTTTACAAGTAGTGTCTTGGTCCATTTTCCTGAACGTCCCATGTGATTACTTAAGGCGGGGGCTTTTCTCACTGTTCCCTAAATGCTAATGACACACAGAACAGGCTTTAAAGTCATAGTTTCTAGATTCTAGGGTTCACTGGTTACCTTAACGAATTTTTTCAATTTGAATTATCAAGTACTGTATCAATCGAGGAACTACCGCCATTAAAGTTAGAAATCCTGAATCTTTGTCATGACAATGAATGAACCTTTACTGCGTGTAGTGCAAAGCAAAAGTTTCTAGTTACTAATGACTGAAAACTTTTGAGAATCATATGTTTGATTGCTGTTAGATGAATATCAAAGGTTTGAAACAAACAAAGGACGTGTTCATAGAAAAAACTGCAGTCGGAATGTTGTTTCTAGATGCTACTTCATCTATGTCCATGGCTTGAAGGGATCTGGTTTCTTTTTCACCAACAATCAGAACACCGATATGCTTCACTTTACCAGCCAATCACTGGGTGACAATTTGCCTTGGCTGTAATCAATTTAATTCCTTAGAACTTTACTAAAATAGACTTTATACCAACAAATTGCAAATATCAAATTCTATCAATCTATACTTACCCGCGGCATGTGTGCAGGCTAAGCAGAGGACGAATGTGACGATTTTCACGAGTAATAACAGATTCTCCTTCATGGTGAACGACGATGGCCGTTTTGCTGTCAAAAATCAAACTCAGTTGCAGCAATGACAAGGAAATGTTTTACGTAAGACATTAAGTTTGAGCATTAATTATTAATCATACACACAAGCGTTGTATATACAACGCACCCACAAAAGAAGATAAAAGGAATAATCAAGCGAAGAGAAACAAGATTTTATACTTTTGTGACTTGTGACTAAGAATCAGGACATATGCCAGTTACTTTACGGTGGACGACTTTCGAAAATACTTGCAGAGCGAAAATTCATCAAAGTTTGATTATCTGTTGTCCTTAGCAAAATTGCGCTTTAAGCTTTACAAAACAGGTGACCCCATTGTGTATTATGTAAGGCGTATTAAAGATGTGTTAATGCAAATTCATCGCTGAGGACGGCTATTGAGCGCTCTATTCGGGCACTGTGTCTTGAATTTTGCAATTTGCAGGTGGATTTTCAATGGCATGTTGTCAAAACATTGGCAACGGAGAACCTCTTCCAATATAAAAAGGGTTTGCATAAAAAATAATGAATAATTCAAAGTTGACGAAAAGCGTAAAAATTAAACAAACAGAGAATAACGAATAACAGTACGGAATCGACCTCCAAGTGAGGTCAAAAACACAAAGGAAGTTAAAACAAAAACCTAATAAGCTTTAGATTGCTAGACATGCCAGTGTATGTTCTGATATCGGAAAAAAGCGTTCTTGGTCGTGTTTTTATTGGCTCATTTCAAAATTGCTTGAAACTCTCTTGAAAAGAAGCTTTCAGATAAAAATTTACTGTTTTTTTCTTGAATTAAGAAAAATCACTAGAACTACTTAGAGATGTATATGATCGAATGGCAAGTGAAGAAAAATCTACGAAAACAGGCAAAAAATAGACACGTCACCAAGCAACGCCCCATCTAAACTTTGTCGGTAAATTTCAACGGTAGATTTTGATATTTTGTAAGTTCAGTCATGTTTGATTTGCGCAGATATTATCGTTTCCAAATCATTAAAAAGCTTGAATTCATAGTCCATTTAAACATTCCTGCTGCTTGCTAAATCTTAGTATAGTAAATAAATATAATAGAAAGCAGAATTTTAGAGAAATGCATAGCATAGTTTGAGCTGTGGAGAGAGGTATGGCATCTAAAAGCTGGTAAAAAAGAAATCTGTGCTCTATTCTATTCACGCTTTTTCCTTGATAAATAAATAGTAAATTAGAATGCTATAAAAGGCATTTGACCTAGGTAAAGTGGCTTACAGCCACTCGACCACCAGTGGCTGACCAATCAAATTGCGCACAGAGAAAATCATGTCAACAGTTTCCGCCTTTCTTCAAATCGGTGAAATCCCAGCGCAGCACACAGTTATAGTTTTGCTACGAATCGATCGATCGTTTCAAAATCATCGATATTGGTTATCGGGAGTGTTCAAGCAGCTCGGCAATGGTTCCGAGTTTTTCATGTACACAGTTGCGCGTAGGCAGTTTTCATTTCCCTCAAAGCACGCATGATCTCATTAATTTAGCCTAGCTTGTTTTTTGGGTCTCGGATGTCAAATGCTTTCAAGTCGGAGACAAAAGAAACGTAAATTGTGGGCGAGAAAATAACAGTTTCATGACTGCAGAAGTTTTAAGCAAGATTTCTATTGCATTGGATAACATAAAATTCCACCTGTGACTCATGTAACAGAATCAAACATTGTATCTAAGACGGCACCCGAAAACCTTTCATGTAAAAAATAAACTAATTCACGTTGGTAACAAAAGCATTTATAAGCCGGGAGCCATGTAAAAAGTAGCTCACCGTTAAAATAAATGCCATTTTCTTCGTGATAAAAAAGCAAAAAAACTGCAACACCACACCGTGTAAAGATTTGCTTTTGACTTCGGATTTAACGTTCAATACGACCTTCATTTATAGACTGTTTTGACATAAAACCAATTTTTTCTTAAAAAAGTCGAAGTGTTCACTAAGGCAAATCGAAAAAAGAAACTCTTATTGTGAACAGAATGATCCTGCAGAATATTCCAGGCCGTTCCATGTTTGAACTGAAATTATAATCATTATCAGAGAGCTGAGAAGATGCCCAATGGAAAACATGGTCGCCTTACAATAAATAAATGAGCCATTTGCTAAAAATATTCTTCACAAGTAACTATTTTCCACTCTCTAAATGCAATATTTGCAGCATTACCCTGTTTCTTTGCCGGGATTCCCAACCTTAAAATGAATGACGAGCACAATTCTGCGGCAAAATTCAAACCTGTGCTTCATTCTACATTTTCATTTCCTCTTTGGTAAGGTGTCAAAGATTGACATTGAAGGAACAAGGTAATGGGAATAAACAGTGGACCAAAATCATAACTGACGAGAGAAAGAAAGAAGCGTGGTTTCCCACAAAAAGCTTTGTAAAACTCATTTGAGAGAAGATAGCCGTAAGTATACCTCTGGGTTTCATAAGGCCACTTCCAAACGTCTTACTGGTAGGGCTAGCCGGGTCCAGCTTTCAGTAAGAGGGGCCTTTTCCCTAACTTAATTAACGTGCACCTCCATTACAAAACAAATGCAAGGGGCCCCTAGCTTGTTAAATAAATGCAATAAAAATCGTATTGAGCAAAATATGAGAGCTACTCTAAAAGTGCCAAAAATCAATCGAACAGCTATGGAAGAAAATATTAAATAATTAATAGAATCTTTTGTATAAAATTTGGGGGGGCCGAGCATGGGGCTAAGAGAAATTCTTTCTTGAGGAGCTATGGTCCCCGCCCTGTAGAAATGCCACTGCTTACTGTATCAACCATGCCTCATCCTTCCATTTTTCCTCTTTGTCTTCCCAATTTACTTTATTTACGGTATAATTACTGAGAAGCCTTATCTGTTGACATGAGGTCTTTACTCTTGCAAACACTGGTTCTTTTGTTGGGGAGGGGTGAAGGAGAAAATTGTAAAAATATTATAATATACAAACTTAAATATGTATAATATGATAACGTATATAAAGATGTGAGTGTTTTAACGAATTATGGCATGAATTACTTCATGTCTTCAGCAAAATTATGAATATACCCTTTACACTTTAGATAAGTGTAAACACATCAACAACAAGTAAAGTTGACACGGGTTTATATATTAAAATGTTTTCGGTGACGATTCCTTCCTTAACGAACTTAAAGGCATTTTGCAAAGGTTTAAGCTATACCTGACGTAAAGCAGTTAGACAAGAAAAAAGCTTAAAAGTAAAAAACTGGATGACAGTTAAAACAAAAATAATTAAAACGACGGAAAATAATCTCTTATAAACAGTTCACTATTCTAATTGCAAAGAACAGCTGCAGCCTTACCAGAAATTCCTGCCCACACTTTCAAATCTCTACGTGATACAGTTTCTTCAAATTAGAATTAAATTCAACTTCTTGGCTGGTTAAAAAAAATTGGCAAAGAGCTGGATGTGTAGTTAAAAATTTATGAGACTGTAAACAGTTTTTATTCTATCATTTCTCACACATATGGCACAATAGATATACCTGTAGCATAGCAGGTGTAGAGATTCGAAATAACCTCAAACCCTTGTCAAACATACAAATTATGATTTGATTCGAATGACAGCTCATTAATGTTAATACACTTAATGTCAATCAAAACCGGTTCAGCTCGAGGCTAATGTATCACGCCTTAGTTTCCTTTACTAGCATTCATGAAGGGATCCAGGGAGGGTTTGGGGCGAAGAGTTATGAAGTAGTTGTTGGAGTGCTTATAATTTGTGCTCACCACATGTTTTATTAGACCCTCTAAAGTTTACATTAAAACCAATCTTAGGAAGTTTTGATCGAGACTTGAACTTACGATACCCAAACTTAGAAAATATTGCTTTAGTCTAGCGATTTTTATCCTAGTCATTGCCAGCTATTTGACAACGCATTACTCGAATAAAATCTTCAAAGTTAGAAAATATACATAGCGTAAACTTCAGCTAAAGAGGTATTCAAGGCGGACTAGGTTTAGTGTTTAGTGAGATAGTGCAAATGTTCTCGAGATTTGAACTAATTGACATAAAAATTGACATATATTGGATACTGACATCTAATTCGTGGTTTTTTGTGAACAATTTCGCATATTCTAGCAAGGAAGTACAGATATCCAAGTACCCATATTTTGTCATCCAAAATTATCTCCTACCTGATCTGAACAAAAATATGAGAGGCCAGTATTCAAACAAAAATACGAGGCCAATATTCTAAATAATACTTTTGACCCCTTGATGTGTTGGTTTAAGGTAGCACTGAATACCACTAAGCAACTCGTCTCATATTAACAGAAGTACCTGTTTATATGCAAGGGTTGTAATTAGCTGAATAATTGAGGCAGTTTTCTATATGCCACCGGACTGGTTGCTGTCCATACATTAGTTAATAACATCGTTGAGGGTTGCGCAGGCTACTCGCGCAGGTGTCAAGGCAACGGAGACCATAATGACTATACAAGATTCAAGGAATTGCGTTTCAAAATCGATATACAAAGACCAGAAATTCAATTCGAAAAGGATTTTTGAATAAAGGATACATGAATCTTGTCTAAAATCATTGTCAACTTCCATTTTTCATTAGGTAACAAGAGTGATACATGTGTTAAGACGGTTAGAAAAACTAACATTTTGGCTCATGCCATGATGGTGATGAAAATAGCAATGATAACAAGATATGATGATGATGATGCAGGATGATGCTCTGATGAAGATTATGATGATTATGGCAATAACATAACATAACAGCTGTCTGAAATAATTAGCCAAAGAAAAAATGGTTTTGTTGGTTTTGTTTACTTCACAAGATCCATAAAAATAAACTCTAACATTGATGTCATCCAAAATCATTCACTTTGAAAAAGAAGTTAAATTTGGTCTTTAATATACATACTGTACAATTTCAATTTCATTTCAATTTCTTCTTTTGAAAAGTAGAAAAATGGAGTTACGGGACTAAAAAATCCTCAATGACAAGATAGAATATCTAAAAATGAACTGATTACATAGCCTTTCAATCACAAGACGGAAACTAGAAATTATATAAGTGAAACATTAATTAAGTAACTGTTTACTGGTCTGTTATGATATCAGGCAGAGCTGTAGGGTCAGTGCCTACCCTACTAATTTGAAAGTGTGGGGGGGGGAGACTAGCAAAAGTACAGGGCCCAAGGCTTCTTTCCCCTTTTACTGCAGCTTTAAAACTATTTGCTTTGCAAAAAGTAGGGGGGCCATGGTCACCCAGGCCACCCTGGTGTTATGGGCCCCGAGGGTGTGTTAAACAGAGTAGTTTGCTTGCTAGATTCAATGCTTGGTGCAGTCATCAGGCAACTTAAAGAAGAAATTAAAACTAAACAGAATATCAAAAATCTTTCTTGAATGCCCTAATATGCTGTGAATAAGCCAAGCTTTTTAGATGTGAATGACAGTGCTGAAAGACTGCCCAGGCTTATACACCAAGTACAAAAAATCAAACACTGTAAAATACTTGAAACTGCCCTCTTTGGGTTATTTTTCCATGACAACTGTTAGTGATTTTGCTCTCAGAATTGAGCATTAACTGCACTAGTGAACATCACCCTCAGTTTTAAGCAGTCAAAATGGTAGGGGAAACAGTAAAGATATGCAAATGTTTCGGATTACAAAGCTTCTTGATTTATTTTCAGTATGCCTATTATATATACAATATGGCAATTTGTTATTTATACAAATATTATAAAGGGATGATTTTTAATACTGAAGTCTTCATAGCCAGTTCATGTGACACTCTTCATTAAAGTAAAGTTTACAAAAATGAACCAAACAAACCACAATTGAAAAATCCATCAAAACTGACAGGTTAACTTGACTCCTTAGCTCTCTGTCTCATTCTCTGTATGCGCCTTTTATCAATGTCTTTCTTGGCAACAATGAAGGCACTTATTCCCCCAACCACAGCAACAGTCCTGGAAACATATTTAGAAATATATAGATATAATTTAATGAAATGAAAACCAATTTCAACAAAATTAAGATTCAGTTTAAGAAATCTTTCAAATTAACTGTGGTTTCCTCTGCATTGGGTTCTTTAAGGGCTTTACGCAACAGCTTTCTGGTGAATGCATTTGTGAAAACATCTATAGGCCCAGCCATGTTGATTGCACGGCTCTTTTAGACTGGCCTGGAAATTTTACATTCAAGAAAAGCCATCATCATTGCCATTTTGGCAGCAGGTTACAAAAAGGTGACACAATTATCGTTGACTGAATTTTTTAATGTCATGTATGATATATGCAAACTGGTGAAACGATGAAAATTTGTTACTCAGTGGTTAACTGTGTCCTTCACACATGCTCTAGTCTTTAGCAAGGCCCTTGAGTGTTTTCAAGAAATAAAGATTAATAGAGAAAACAGGAACAACAAAATGGGGGTACAATGATTAGAAAGAGATTGGCATGTTTCCTTGCTTGGCATGAATAAACAACCCAGGGTGGAATCCATCCAATGCTAGTCTATCAGTGGCGGCTGACAGCGTTAGTATTACTAGTCTAATAACAGTTTTTTTTCCAAAGCTATAGGCTTGTAATGGCCGCCAGTGTTTATTTTCATACACAATGATTTGGATTCATGCTCAAGGTTCCGCATGACAAAAGACTTTGATTGAAATTATTTGCCTTCAATCTCCCTTTGAAAATGTCAACAATAGCCCTTGCTAACATCTTCGTTATTAGGATTGGGTTTCTAATAACGCGAATCACAATTTCCTTTGTTTTGACTCCGTGAATGTGACATATGCGTCATAGAAAACAGGGTATAAAGCCATTGTAGTTTACTCACACGTTATTAGCCTCCTCTGTCTAATAACGCATTCCGGGATATCAGTCGCTTACTGCCCCCTTACTTCGTAAAACAAGATTGCAAACAAAATAACTACCATAATTCAAACTGGTTTTGTGCACTGGTCTGTTTCTCAAGTTTTCCCCCTTAATTTCAGCTGGTAAAAGTCTAACAATGAACAACTTTTTTGCTTAAAGACGATGGCCTACCCAAAGACTTCTCTAATAAAGAATGTTACAGTGTCAACGAGACATTCCCATGGATTTGTAGGGAAGAAACAAAAAAATGCTTATTTTCGTTGCCAGTGTCTTGTGATGGGAGATTTTCAGAAAGGTAAATTTATAGTCTTTTTCAAAGTATCTTTCAGACCTCTATTATATCCAGGATGGTCTGTCTTTAATGCCCCCGTTATTAGAAAGCCATTTCTAATATGCAGTTGCCGAAATGTTGCTGGGGCTGCATTGATAAAACCCTATGGGTATTGAAGGTCAGCTGTCCCCTGCCCATTTCCGTGCTGGCAATCCAGACACTGTTTTTGAGGTTGGCCTGAAATGAATTGGGGATTATAGTTTTGAATTAATTTTATATGGCTATCAAAACCACTGCTATACCTATGCCCCAAGTATTCATTATTTTCCTTTTTCCACAAGAAAACAGATTCAGCATATCAGGTGTTTGAAAGCTCAAATTCCCTGACAAAAACGCAATTGGGGGACCCCTCCATGCTTACACTGCTTGGTTGACTAATAACAGTTCATTTCTGGTGCCAGCCGCCCCTGTAGTCCATGCAATTCCAAAACAATAAACAAAAAATCAAATGGGACATTGCTAGTCGACATTGCATAACCTACTGTACATTGATTACGCATTGAATTGGAATAAACAGGCTAGGAAGAGACAAATTGTGCAATCTTTGATAGTTTCTACTTGTGAAGTTTAGACAATAAATACTTAGAGGAGACTTAAACCATCTTTTCATCCGTCAGGCAACAAAATTACCATTTAACTTTTTACTTTGATTGTGAGGAAAACTGTATCCACATTTGATTTAGCGACCGCTTTTTTAGGCTTGTTAAGCAAAGCAAACACGAGTTAGCGAATCACGGCAAACAGTGCAAAGGAAAAGAGCTAGAACAAGTTAAAACTGTATAAAGAATTTTATTTTGCATTAGTAGACATAAAAAACTAAACTGAAACAATAAAATATGATTTAATTTTGGACACAAACTGAAAAAGCAAATAACAGCACTGTACCATGCAGCTGCGACCATTCGCATTCCTAGAGCCATATCTTTTGTATTTCTTTTTGAAAAATTATTCAGCTCTAAACTTGAACAACCTTTTTGCAGATTCGTTATTCATGACAAGTCTTGGAATTTCCCAAAAGACCTCCACTTCCCTACCACACGTTGGAAAGTCTAAAGGCTAAAGGTGGTGGAAAACAGGGGCCATTAAGAGTCTGTCTCGGATTCAGCTTAAAATGTTTTTTGAGTAAGAGGCAGTGGCATTCCCGCGGAAGCCTGAATTTGTGTTTTGGAGAAGGGGGAAAACAAACGTGCTGAAATGAATCCATGGGAGTATAGCAACTTGTATGCACGATGTCAGTACATTCAAGAAACACTGATAAAGAAAGAAAAGTTTGTACTTAGTTTCTTCAGATAAAGTGCCATTTCAATTCCAAGAAAACATTTGTCATTCAAAATCCCACTACCAAGTTCAAGTTCTTCATCACATACTTTTGCCTACAATAAATTCTACCAAGTAAAGTTTCATTCATTTTACCGCACCTGTTTATTAGATATTTAATCCCAAATTATTTATATTTGTAAATATAATTCAAGGGTGGATCCAGCAAAAAACCTGATCGAGTTACCTTGAGGCCAAGGCTGGGGCCTTTCAGATGATGAGATTGATGGTTTATGATTGTGCCTAAAGCATTTTGGTACCATTGGGGAGGGGGGTTCTATCCACTTACTCAATCTGGATTTTAGATTTCTTTCTGAACAGAAACAGTGCCTCTGAAATTTTTCGCAACCCCCTTCCCTTTCTCAATGCCCTTTTGTTTGTTTTGGATGCCACAGCAAAGTTTTACCCATCTGTTTTGTTCACATTTCAGGTGCATTGTGGCTGGGGGGTATGGGGCGGTGGTCCCCTCTTTTTTCAAATTTTGACGATTTTTGGAAAAAACATTGTTGTGTCAGAAATTTCTAAAACTTGAGCTGTTTGTGAAAAGGAGAAGTGAAACAAACCTTTTAGTGACATGTTGTAATCAGATGAAAAAGAATGGCAAAGAAAATACTAATGAACCAAATTGAACAGGATAGAGACAGATGTTGGTACAGCAAACTCAGAGAACAAATGTGAAAGTATGATCTAATAGAAGAAATAGAAGACATAAGACATAAACAAATAACTAAGGAAAAGATACAGAAATATGTTTACAAAGAATACAAAATTGAAAGCAAAAATATGACAAAATTAAGATTTTTACATAAAAACCAAGTCAAAAGGAAACAATATATGGAAATATGCACAACAAGGAAAGCAGAGGATATGATAAAAATATGCCTTAATATTGAGGCATTCCATTGTACTTACAAAGGAAGAGACAAAGAAATTAAATGTCCATTATTCAAAGAAAAACAAGACACAACAGAACATGCATTTGAATGCAAAATAATTGAAAACATCTTGAAAACAAAAGAAATTGATGCCTGCAGATATAGAAAGTGAGCAAATTGATGTAATAAAAGTTAGTAAGTTTGTAAAAGAAGCAATGGAAATTAGAGAACAGATATCAAAGAACTAGAAAAAACCAAGGTCAAATTAGCTTGCACTATCAAATGAAATGATAGTGCCCGTTGAGACAAAGTGGCTCAAATAGAATCACACAAGAATCTCACTAGACATAAATTACTAAAGTACTCACCATATTATCTAAGGGCAATTCACTTTTGTAAAAAGAATACTAGATTTCCACAGAAACAATGAGAATTCTCAGGATGTACAGATTTTCTATCATAGAGTGATTTGCTGTTTGGATTTTTCTGTTGAAATCCAAATCTCAAAGGCCTAAATTTGGCTATGAAGCTGTACAATATTGGTCATAAATTACATCTTTGTTTGATATTGAAGATTAGAGGACAATACCAATTTTGTGCCTGTCACCAGATTTGAAAGTTTATGCAGTTATGTTGCAGGTAAAGCAAGGAAGAAGTTGAACAAGGGGCTGGGGGTCATGGCCTGTTGATAAAAAAACCATGCTGAGCCGAATTCCATTTAGTAAAACCATGTTAACAAAAATTTTGCCACAACAGGACTGAGGTGGCGGGTGTAAAAGAAAACTTTCTTCATTTCACTGGCCCCTCCAGTTTAGAACACTCTCTGCTGGTGGATATTCATTTCAGAAATAAGATTTTGTTATGAAAGTTTGCTCCAAAGAATGCAGTTTCTTGTGAAATTGAAGCTTTAAGATAATAAAAAAATATTTCCTTTGGCAGCAACTATGGTGCCTTTCTGCGCCAACCCCCCCCCCCCTCGCCCCTTATACCTACATGAAATGCTTCTATTTGATTAAATTAAATCAAAGAAAATTTGTCAGAAAATTTTTTTTTCTTGCCCCCTCTAGAATTCAATCACCATGACGCCCCTGTTGCCTTTCAATGTCAAAAATAGGATCACTTTCAAATCGATTGTTTTTGCCTCCGTTACACAGGGTATCATACCGTATGCCTCCATAGACACCAGCCATTTCATCAAAATATGGTGTAATTGTTCTGCCCAAGCATAGACTTTCAGTAAGTCTGTTCCGGGTTGATTTCATCGATTTTGCATTTCACTATCTACAGATCTTTTTCAAAAATGGACTTCAGATTTGAAGTCATCATCTTAAAATTAGCTCATATAGAAAATTTCATGTCATTTCGACTTTAGATCACAAGCTATGCCAGTTTTAATATCTAGATATTTATTTAGATTTGACCGTATGACCGTAATTCACTGCTGTATTGAAAATATTTCACTACCACAGCAAATTTCATTGCAATGTATAGGAGATGCCAAATTTTTGATTTAAGTCATTTGTCATGTGCTGGATAGAATGCTAAGACAGATATTTTTAAAAAAATTTAGGGCTTCGGATGTACACAAGAACGATGAAAGGATGGAAGTAGAGAACATTCCTGGCTCCAAAATGAAAAGAAAGTCAAATCTCCCGAATGAAAGTGATCTGAAGGTATTGGTTATTACATTTTTTTTTATTTCGAAAATCATATCGATATCAAGTTTGTCTAATTTAGACCCTGTATAATCTTTGTTTCCCAATCCAACACTACATTTGTATAATCATCCTAAACTGACATTCCAAATATTCCAAAAAACATTCCAGTAATTAATATTTGCCATAGATATGGAAAGATAGCTGCCAAAATTGTCTTCTCTTATTTTATCAATCAATTGCAATTCTTTTTTCAACTGCTAGTAATATTGAGTATGTGGAGTGTTCTAAGCATAGGAATCAGGTATGGTCTGTGGTTGGTGTGCACAACCTCTCAGTCTCCTGAAATAAACTGGAGCTAAGTAGATGCAATTAAGTTTCAACTCCAAGTCAACCTTTTGCATCAGTTTCAATTATTGCTTCCCATACAATTGAACAATAGGAGTGTGGCTGTTTATTTTTGTACACTGCATTAAAGAATGGAGACCTTCTGATTTTTGTGAAAGCCTGATAGCCTTTAAAATGTAAAATATGTTGTATCATGCTTTGAAAGATTGTATGAAATCTTACAAACCAAATAATTTTTATAGAATTTTTGCAGAATTTTCTTGAATAAAAAAAAATTTAGCAAAAGCATAGAAGTTTTTAGACCATATTGTCTCATTACTACGTTTTTGATAAAAACAGGGTGAAAAAATCCATTTTGAATTTTGCATTTTCATTAATATGCTGGAAAACGAAGTCATTTTAATCTAAACTGGAGTCATTTGAAATAGCTGGCCAAAACCTTTGTTTTCGTTTTGACTAAAATGGTGTAGCCAGGAGTAATAGGAATAGCTCAAGAAAATACAAAAACCAAATGATCTAAAAATTGCAACATACGAAATTGCAACAGAATAATGGAAAGAGATCCTTCTTTACCAATGCAAAGTGCTGTGTTTCATTCAACATGGTTTGCTATTCCAAATTAGATTCAGTCTAAAAAGCCATTAGTGACCAGGCCTATTTAACAGGGTGTTTGTTCACTACAAGGTAGAGCAGCAATATATGAAATATGGTTGGGCAAAAAGGTCTTAATGTGTCTGAATGGATAAACCATTTTTCAATTGTTTTGTTTGTGTGCTCCAGGACATTGCGCTACACCTTTTTTAGGACAGCATTTCTTTTTTCAAGATCTTATAGAGAAGCTACAATGTTTTGTTTATTTTTCTCAATCTACTTTGTCCATGATATACATAATTTTTTAAGGTTATTTTCATTACTTGGTAATTATCTAACAACATTTTGATTGCAGAAGCAAAAGTTGATGCAAGAATAGAAAAGATCATGGCTAGTGTCTCTAAAGAGAGTTTCTAAAGAGCCCATCTGCTGCTGTTGTTCAGTAGATATTGTCCACTTCTATGCAGTAATCCATAACTAGCTTTTAGTGTATATAGATAAACACACACCCACAACTTAGCACCGGATTCACTGTGAAATAGTTGATACATTTGTTGTAAATATTGTAACTTTTTATGAAAAATGAAAATACATGTTTTTTAAAAGATGTTTTGAAATTTTGTTCCTCGTTTTGTACCTGAAATTTTGAAAGTTTGTATCAGTTTGTCAGAGCCACAGACATTGCCTATTTTAAGTATATTCATGTAAGATATTGGGACTTTAATAGAACTGAGTTTTCTTTTATAAAAACTGTAAAAAAATCTCTATAGACTGGCATGGCACTCCATACTTTAATCCAAAAGTATCTAAAAGTATTTGTTGTTTAGCTGGCACTCTTCATCCCCCAAAATGACGAAATCGTCTATAGCTGAGTATAAACTGTTGAAAAAGCTAATCAGATACCCTCGTTTCCTATTGGTTAAGTAACATAGTGCACATACTTCCTATTGGTTGATCTTGGTAGAAGCTTTTCTGCCAGCCAGTCCTTGATTTTTTAATACGTTCTTGATAAAACCAGTCTTTTAAAGGTAGTCTGTCATGCCTAGCATAGAAGAGAATTTCTTTTTCACCGAGTTTTTGTTACGAAACGAAGGAGGTCTCTCACTCACTTTTGATCAGTTATACTATTTTTATATTCTTCTCTGATCTCCAGGAAACTCAACATTCAACAAAAATAGGTAGTGAACAGCGCGACACACTGCCTTAAAACTATACTGTCGAAGGCTTTTTGTAGCTTTGCCATGAGAAGAAACACAAGCTAAATTATTTGCCATTGAACTTGGGCTGTCCTATCTGTAATATACAGATAGTTGATTGCTGGACACTTCACACTGAGATATAAATGCTATGATTGGTAAAATTTTGAGTCTAGAATGAAGAGACTATACCAGCAAAATATGCAATCGAGTTTTATAGGGCTTTCTTAGTATAGCCCATTTTGAAGACCAATCTCTTTTCCGATTTTTCTCCAGTATCTTTAAAATTTGTAGGTATTTTCTCTTTTAAAACTCATAACGCATTTTGTGTTTCACGACTTCTTTAGACAACCTTTTGGCTGTAACTTCGAAGGTAGCTCAATTGATCGACACTAAAATTTTGATAATGGCCTTGATAAAGACCCAGGATTTTTCAGGGAAAATATCCCTGTTGGTCCGTGAGAATCCTGAAGGAAAACAGCTGATCTTAAAAAGTTAAGACCGTTCGCTAAATGAGGTCGATGTACAAGCTAAATCCTTTTCGTGAAACACTTCATAAGTTTCATGAATATTGATAAATTTTCCCACATTTTGTTGAGTTTCAACAGCATGTCTGGCTAAAATTGCAAAGTTTTGCACACAACGGAATTACATCTTGGTCAAAGGCGATTACAGAACAGCTCATTTCAGCTGCACTAATAATGGCTTGGTGATTTCTGAAAGATTCTCCTAGTTGGATTGCTGTGATTTTGTGAAATTTCTTATTTTTGGCAATAGATAACCTACCGAACCTTAAGGTGAGTACAGAAGTCTCAAGACTTGTTTTCCTATGTTCCGAAAACCCTTTATCTTATCTTATTCTCTTATCTTAGATAATTGATTACGATAAAGATATAACCGAATTGTCATATGTTGTAAATGTAAGGTTTTATTTTTTAATAAGCTGCTAGATGTTTTAAAAGGCTCCTTATTTGATGTTTGATACTTCAGTAGAGCAGAATAGATGTTGTATTCCGATTTTGAAGACTGATTGTGCGACGTTATAGAAAACATAAACTTGGTGTGAAAATATTTCACCTCTAAACCAATGCATTCAGTTATGAATTGATAAAATGAACAGCCTTCTCTTTTAGATTATTCAACATAACCATTAACTTGTAAGAACAAGATGATGAAAACGGAAGAATCGCCATTTCAAGCATTCAAATATGCAGATCGTAAAAGTGAATATGGAAAGTATGTGCAGCTAACAGCTTTTATTTAAAATTCAAACAATCAGTAGTTAGTAGCATCCCCGTGTTAGACCTCTTCCAAGCAGAAGTAACACGCACATTTTCCCGGGTTATCTGAAGCCCTATCTCTCCTTTACTTGTTTATTCATCTCCATTGCTACTGGCTTTGTGTAACCAGTACTAAACAATCCAACAATTTACTACGCCGATTTACTCACCATTTCTAAATTTCCTAGCACAACTACTACTAAACTACTAAATTTCCAACCATGTATATCACTACGAACACCTTATGTAACATTTCTAATAACAAATTTGTTTTTGCATCAAGGTGTTCAACTGCTTCCAATCGTGTTGATCCAGAATCTGACACAGATGAAGAGGAAGTAGACAAGATAAGGGCAAGCAAATGATTGTATATTTTTAGCTTAGTCAGCCAGTCTGTAATGTCTGTATTGGCTTGATGTAGTATGTAGCATTACCATTGTAACTAGATCCAGTAGAATCTTGCTATTACGAATTTTATAGGGACCAGGAAAAAGTTCATAAAACGGGAGCTCGTTATTCTCAAAGATTCCTTGTACAGTAATATTCCAAGGGACAAGGCTTGTAGTTGGTAATAGCGAGAAATCCGTATTACGCGGGTTCGTATTACGGGATACTACTTAATTGTTTTTCAGCTTTCGAATATGTTTCGTTTCGAATATGTTTCGTTGATCAATTTCTGCTGTTTTGAACAGTAGTGTAGAGCCAAAAATGTAGTGGGGGAAGGGGACATAGGGCTTTCTCTATACTGTATACAATATAAAAAATTGCAATTGTTTTCCTTTGTTTGCTCCGCAATATCAATTTCTTTACCTTTCCAATTTTTCTAGGGTTAAATCATCTTCCAATTTTGAACTGTTTCTTGAGTAGAAAATTTTAAATATAATGAATTTAAAGTAGTAAATTTTGCAAGCATTTATTGATTTTTCAGTTATCAATAGGAATGCAAATGTCAATAAGTGATGTTGGTTCTGGCAGATTTGATCCTGGCAGAAATTAGCCATGATATTTAGAATCACCCAAAAAAGGGGAGGGGGCTGAGCCCCCCTGAGTCCTCCTCCCTCTTCTACAGCCCTGGTTTTGATTATTTCAGGTAGGAGAAGGCTGTAAAAACGAAGCGAGCTATCAAATGATTTTTCCTTATTCGTTTACATTACAGACTGGAATGAACGTTGCTATTACTGGAGAGTATTTACAAATTGCCAAACTCATAAAGTATGCAAAGGTATTTATCGTTGCTGCAATGAAAAAACTCGATAAACCTACAATGTTTGCTCATGGGGTATTACTGTCTTGTGAGCTAGGCAAGAGCATATAAGGTTGTCTCTTCATTACTTCCACCCCTAGGGCTGGGGGTGGCTTTTAGGCTTGGTTGAGCAGTACATTGCCGCATAACGCTCTCGAAGATTACCTGTCCGTAATAAATAACGTATTTTCTGAATATTGTATAAGGAAGCTCTTTTTCTTCATGAGCGTTCTGTTCGTTGGTTGATCTTACTGTTTGTGACCATGGTTAAACCAAGTTCACGACAATCAACGTCTGATAGTGGTCAAACTGGTTCAACGCCCATTTATTTGCCATAATGAACATCTAGAGAAAGCTGCTATGTAAACAACTTTTACCTTACTTAATTAAGTAAGATTCAAAGTAAAGGACCTCTTCTTGCCATTTGCAATCGCTCTACGTGTTTGTTTCTGGTCGTAGCGTGGCAACCAAACAGCGACTGTTCTTGCACTTGTGGCTTTAAACGACCATGACATGAAAAAACCTTCCGTCCAAGCAAGCTTGATTCACCTTGACGGTGTCAACCTTCTCGTCAACCTCCTACGCACCGATGATTCCAGATCAAAGGTTATATTTATATATATTAAACCTAAATATTTTATAAATTCTTTTTGCGTATAACGGTTATTTGATGACTGAAAATTAGAAATTCTTAAACAAACAATCTTTTGGTGGTACAAAACATGAAAATGACTTTGAAAAAAGCAAACATTTAGTAAACTAAAGTTTTTCGTCTGACACTCTTCAGAGTTTAAAACGTCAGAACATAGACCGAAAACTCTACGCGTAGAGTGTCAGACGAAAAGCTTTAGTTTACTGAAAGTTTGCTTTTTTCAAAGCCATTTTCAAATTCTTAAGCCTTTATTCTTTGAGACTGAAATGATAATGTGCATTAAATATATCAAAATGTCTTTTTAGATCGCTGCACTGAAAATTCTGCGCGCAACTGCAGCAAATAAGCTTGTTGCAGAGGTCATTATTCGATTGTCAGGTGAGATTATTTTTAAAAGACGTCTTTTACGCTTTCAAATCATCGGTTCTGAGACGTTTACTTCTAATTATTCAATGATTAATCGTTCTGTTTTGGGCTGCAACAAAGCTCTACAGCCAAAAACTTCAGTTCACTAAAATTACAAATTGCTGATGCTTATAACTAGGTTGCTACAAGAACCTTTCTTTAGTGGTTTAATGCCGCAGCCATGTTAATTTCAGGCTTCTTCTATAATCTTTGTTAAAATTTGAGGTTTCTTTGTTACACAGAATTGTTCTGTTCCAGTCATATTTTATTTCTGTGTAAATCGTTATCCACAAAGGCATCATGCCTAAATTAAATTTACTTTTAACTTTTTATTTATGACGCAACCCTACACATTCTGATGGTCTGTTCTGTATAGCATTTCAAGGGATATTTTTCAAACTTAATTCTGTGAAAACTGTGTTAATTTTTTCTAATATTTTTAATATTTTCGTTTCGTTATGTTTTATCTCTGTTTGTAACCAATCAAACTACCTGGTCCCTATAATAACTTTTCTCGTCTTCTCCTTTTTTATTTATAACTACCTAGCTTTTAAGGTAGTTTTTAGTCAGGTAGTCACACCAAGACGCTTTGCATATCCAGTATTGTCAGCTACTTCCTTTTTTGTGACCACACATTGTAATAAATGTGCCTGGAATTACAGAGAGCTGGCGATTCTCCTCACTCTAACTGAAGATCTTATCATGTCGAGGACTCGAACCATAGAAGCTATAATCCACCATTCTAACCACTGAGCGATTCTCACACCTTGATTGCAATTTGTTGAACATAGAATACGATGCGCTGTATTTTACACATTAGTCCTGAAAACCTTTTCCTTTTTCTGCAGGTGTAGAGATTCTGGTCGACCTTTTGAGTAACAGCAGCGACAACGTTGTTGCAATGTCAGCTGATATAATTAGTGATATTGCAGCATCGAGAAGGGCCAGAAAATTGCTACAAGCTAACGGTGGCTTGATAACCTTGGTAAAGCAACTAATATGCTCGTTTTTAATGCACTTTTAATTTTGCAGAACTGGTTTTTGATATTTATTAAAAAATATTTGGTATTTATGAGATTTATCAAATTTGGTTTTCGTAAGACTATTGATTATGTTCACCTATGATATGAATTTTTTTTGTCATTGCCAGTATGTTGATCATATCAAAAACAGGGATGTGTTGAATTTTGTTTTAAATATGTTAAAACTAAAAAGCATCAAAGGTGAGGTATAATATTGCTTTAGCTATACGATATTTGTGTAAATTCTAACTTGGTGAGACAACGCTTTATTTAAATTTCAAAAAATTGCTTTGCAGCTGAAAAATTTGAAGCTTCCAGAACTAGAGCAAGAGATTGATATAAGCAGACAAAATTCGAGAATGAGTTCCAGGTTATCTGGAAAACGCTCAAGCAAAAGCCATATGTTACAACACGCTGCTTTGGATGTCCCGTTGGAGGTTGTCCGTGCGTCTGCTAGCGCAGTGTGGAATTGCTGTAGGAGTCCAGCAAACAGAAAAGTTGTTACTTCGTCAGATATTCTGCCATTTTTAATTCGCCTCCTAGAAAAGACCACAGATGAAACTATTCATATGCCTGTTATTGGTATAATCCACTCCTGTGCTGTTGATGTAAGTCAAAACAACTTTTAAGGCTAAAAGTTTGAGAGAATTGATATGAAGGAAAAAACCTTTCTTGTTTAGGAAGAGTTGTAACTTTGAAACCTTACGAACACCTAATGGCTGCCAAGGTTCTGGTTTATGAAGTAATTAGTGCATTTATATTCGAATAATCATGTTTTTCTTCTAGACAACATTCAAGAAATACATGCTATCAGCTGGTCTTCTCTACCACGTGGTGCGTGCAATGAAAAGCGATCGAAGGCAGTTCCAAATTCTTGCGCTGAAAGCTTACTCTGTTGTACGTTGTCCATCTACTGAATCACTTGATCTCTTGTCGATAATTATGTTTCATTCATTCCTCCATTTTTGTGAGAATCTTTGAACCCGTAGGACTGCTAGAGCTTCCATGAAGAATTTCTAGAAATGAAATACATTTGCTGCAACCAAGTTATACAAAAGTTAGAGAAAATCCTCACTTTCGAGAAGCTCATTTCTTTCCAGAGATGCTTTTTGTATAAACTTTTAGAGCAAATTTTTACATCTGAAAAAGCTCTATGTCTCCTTTTTTTAACTCATCCCTGTTTCCCAGAAATTGTGATTTTGTCCTTCGCAGTGTGGAGATGAAATTGAAGCCAGGGACCAAATAAGGGAACTGAATGGCCTCGGTTTAATGCATGGTATGTTGCTGAATGGGCGGAATGGAGATACCGATATGCTGATTGCAGCAACGGAAGCTGTGTGGAAGTCTATTACTGATAACCATGAAAATGTCAATTGGTATGTGCTTGCACGTTTTGTTCACTTGTTTAGCAAATTTGTGCAGAATTTCAATCATCATAAATAACATAAACAAATGTGCTATGTTCACAAATAACTTAGAGGTATGCTGTGCTGATTGGTCAAAAACATGCACCAATTATTCGCACCATTCTTCCCTTCACGTTACTCTCGATCTCCATCTGAATACAAATTTCTACTTGTTTTTGGTCATCATCTGATGCTCATACTCCAAGATGTGTCCGGCGAAATATGTTATCTGGTAATATGTTGTCTTCATAACTACCTGCTCTATGGTATTTTTGACCATCTCGTCTCTTGAACATATTATTTGTGTCAAGTAGCAGATAGCATTAAAATTTCTTTCATCTTAATTCTTTCAATTTCTATTTTCAAATTCAATCACGAATTTCTTGGAATTAAAGATCAATTATATATGCATTTTCTTTAATAGATTTCCCGTGATTCTGTGTCTTCTTAGGTTTAAAAGGCATTCAATCGTGAACGACCTGTCCGAGTTGCTTAAGAGTAACAACAGTGAGGTAAATTCTCAGAGCAGTTTTGCTGACATTTCTAGAAACAGTTACTTCTGCATTTTTGAAGGGTCATGGAGAGAGAAACGTTAAGAGTTTCATTTCATTTTGACTTATTTTTACAGGGTAAATACATTCAGTAAATTTAAATAACTGATTCACAATGTGCCATGCTCAAAAACATAAGTAGCCTAATTACAAATTAACTTGAGGACCTACTTTATAAGATAAACGCATGTGCTGAATAGTGTATCGACCTCTGTAATCTTTCAAAAACGTATTTAGTCTTGTTTTGAAATTGGCTATTGAAAGGGCAGTTTTTATTTTATGGGTTCAGTGGTTCCAGACACTAACTCATCGATACAAAAGCTCCGCTACCCATTTGAGGTTTTACTGAGTGAAATTCTAATGTCAGTACTGGTACTGGTAGTGCACTAGATTCCCGGGATTACGAATTCTGTAGGGGTCAAGAAAACTCGTTATACTAGGGCTCGCTATACAGAGAGTATTCCAGGGGACCAGTCTCTAACTTCGATATAGCGAGAAATTCTTAACAAGCAGAATTCCTTATAGCGGGATTCCATTGTATAATTTTGCTTTGAATGGTGAACGGAGTTCCTGTGTTTGGGTAACTAGCCTGCGTGCAGACTTTACTATCCGTTGCGAAGGAGAGCCAATGCACGCAGGCTACAGGATTACTTGTAATAGTTGTGTAATGTTACTTGTACTAGGCGAAACTCGTGTAATGAATAAACCTCAATACTGAATTCGGTATCCCAAGTAATTGAAGACAGAGTTTGATCGATCAACCATTTGCATTTGACATAAAGTTTTCAGCATCATTACATTAGTTCGTTATCAGAAAATAATCCTTCTTGCCTTATGTTACTGTAAAACCGATCATTCTTTCTGATTCCTTCAGGTTATTGTCAATTCACTCGGCATCGTTACAGAATTTTCTTATCCAGATTTAGAGAACAGGAAGCTACTCCTTGAAAACAATGTAATTCAACTAGTGATCGGCCATCTTGAAACAACTGATTGCCAAATAATAATGGCTGCTTCTAGAGCAGCAAAGGCAGTTTCACAGGAAACAGAGAGTCGAAGGTAAGATGTTTATGGTCTTTCTTTCTAAAATTGTTTCTTGGAGGGAATCTTGCAAAGACGTGATTGGAATCAGTGGTGGTTATCTAAAAGATTTTGCCTCCTGACCCTTAATAATAACCTCTTTTGATTTTGATGGTGTTTTTCAGCCTTGTTATATGCTTTTATCTCTAGAACAATAATCGGTGATGAAGGGTTTCGTTTCTTGTGGTCTCACCTGAAATCAAGAAACGAAAATGTAAGTATGTCTTTGTTTACCAACAAACAACTACGGTTCGGCAGGTTGTTGATAAAATAAAAAGCTATTGCTGCTAAAAGTGTAATCTTTTGATATTCATCTTTTGTAACCATATGCATCAAAATGTTCATATATTGTTGATGCTTCAGAAAAGATTCTTCACATGTTTTGTGAAACTTTAATCCTGCTTAAATTCCGATTGTTTATTTTTATTAACCTTGTTAATATTTTATTAACCTTAAATGTTTTATTAACCTTAAATGTTTTACAGTCCAACCTATTTTCCTAACCATAATTTACATTTCTCTGCAATTGTTTAGATGTTTACTAAAGAAATATATTAAATTTTGAATGCTTTTCAATCTAAAACGATGTTTGTTTTCATGTGGCAAAAATGTTTTTTTTCCTAAGCATCTCATGTTACAACTAGATGAATGATAAAGAACAAAACATAAGTTGATAGTTTGAATTGATAGATTATTTTCTCGTTTTTAATGTGATTTGTCTTTAGCTCCTTGTAAATTCTGTTCTGGGAATGTCAATGGTCCTAGGCACATTTCACTTAATCTTATTTTTCAGTTCTGCCTTAATTTGGAAAACTAATCGATACTATCTTTCCGACTTTTATACACTCAGGAATGTCCAGTTATAAAATCGTAATAATGCATATACCTGTGAGTTGTGAAGAAATAAATATTGCAGATTATAGTTATTTTAGACTTAGTAAGTATTCTCTTAATACAGTTGAAGCTAATTCCAAAATTAAGATAGGCCGTAGCAAAATCATCACATTTCCAGAGTTTGTTAAGTTTGTTTGGTTTTACGATAATATTTATCAGTACGTCTGTTTTTGGTCCAGCATCTTCAAGAAAGAGATTTATACATTGTACTTGTATAACCAGACCGTTTCTGACACTAAATCTGAGTTTCAAACAGAAACTCTTGGGAGTTTCAAACAGAAACTCTTGGGAGTTTCAAACAGAAACTCTTGGGAGTTTCAAACAGAAACTCTTGGGAGTTTCAAACAGAAACTCTTGGGAGTTTCAAACAGAAACTCTTGGGAGTTTCAAACAGAAACTCTTGGGAGTTTCAAACAGAAACTCTTGGGAGTTTCAAACAGAAACTCTTGGGAGTTTCAAACAGAAACTCTTGGGAGTTTCAAACAGAAACTCTTGGGAGTTTCAAACAGAAACTCTTGGGAGATTCAAACAGAAACCTTTGGAGTTTCAAACAGAAACTTTTGGTTTCACGCCTAATGACTATTTTCCAGTATTTTCTCTGTCAACTGTATCAAAAAGTAACACGGAGACCTATATTATCGTTGCCTCTAGGTTTCCCATGATCCCATTTTCGCTCTGTTTGATCAAAATCCATTTCGCATGTAGGTTGTTTCCACCGTTTTAGACGCAATTTACGATATAGTTCAAGATCCAGAGGTATGTGGAATACTTGCATTGCCCCCTTTTGGAGACAGGTATTCTCTCTTAGCTTTCAAAATATTTGTTACTTGCACAATATAAAAAATTTAATGAAATTAGTCGTATTTGGTCCATAGTCCATATCAAGATATTGTAGACGGCTTAAACGTCATAGCAGTTGAAGCTTTATAGTTGCGTCACTAACGACTGCGATGTACCTTTTGTCCTCGTATTATCTGTGACCTCGTATTCTAAATAGCCGTTGTAAAGAGAAAACTACTCCATATGTACGTGACACAACGCAGAAAATTGACTACGTTCTTTGATCTCTATATTCCTCTGCAATCCGCTTTGCCAGAGAGTTTAAAGCCGATACTTTCTGCTGTGAAAACTTTTATTTCAGCGATTATCTTGTGACGTTTGTGAAAACCGGGGTTCGTTTCCAACAAACATATTCTGCTCTGTTTTGTTGACCTTCAGCAAAAGAAATATGTTTTTTTTAATGTGACTTAGTTAATGTAAATGCTTTTGCTTTGAATGTGCTCTCTTACACGTGCACTGGCTGAAGCCTGCAAATATGTTGGTCGAGCAAAGAAAAGCTCATTTTCCATCGAAATCTCCTGGAAATACGTCTCTCAGGCATCCAGTCAAATTGTTCCAAATACTTCTTATAGCTGTGTTCTTTGCATTTCACTTTACTAAGTGATAGAATTACTTCTATCGGCGATCCCAAGGCAATTTTTTACCTCGTGGTGTGATGGATCGTGAGTTTGATGATTGAAAATGAATTTCTTCAGTGACCAATTTTTCACCTGGCTCTACATATTATCCTGATACAAAAGAACGTAACTTTATGCGTCTGTAAAACGTCAATTGATAAAAACTGTTCTTTAACTCATATAACAAAAAATTACCAAAACATTTGATACATTTCTATATAGTTGATGAATATAGAGCACCATAGTGTACACAGATGATAGCATGGGCAAATCAGAGGCAAAACAACAGAGGACCAATGTTTTTTCACCAATTTGCAAAATAGAAGTTTTCGTTACTAACATATAAAATTAGTGGCTTACTTAGTGTCAGAGAAAACGTTTTAATGCCTTTTAATTTGCTTCCTTGCTCTTGAAATGAGAGAGTGTTTTATCAATGCTATGGCTGTTTGAAGGCCCTAGTAAATTTAAAGCTTTGTGTCCATAACATCTTCATTTTGTTTGTTTTAATGCATCCAAAACCATCTTTCATTTTGATATTTCCATTGTTGTAAGATTATTTTCAAAAGATCAACAATCTTGAACAGCCAAATTTGAAATTTTGCAACCGTCCCCTTGGCTACTCTGCTATCAACAAACATTTGCCTCATTTTGAATACCGAGTGTGAGTGTGGAATCAACAATTACGTTGGCGTTCATTTTAATAGCATCATACATGGACACTTTAATATAGAGACGCTTTATAAAATCAACTGCTTCATTAACATATGAAAACCTATCTCAACAAATAAATGCATTTGAAAGAAATACAGATAAATTTGATTACAATTAGCTCTTCAAGAGTAAAATCTTGTACTTGCGCAGTTTGTTTCACTGAAGCATTCGTGTGATCCGTTGTGCTGATATCTATCCATATTATGTTTATCATTTACAGGAGACTGCAACAACTGTGAGGTCGTTTCTTGGTGGTATCGAAATTCTCATAACGCTAATGAAGTCAAAAAATATAGAGGTGAAAAGCATTATAATGATTGCAAGCCGCAGTTACTGTTCTATCTTCAAATCTGCTTCAAAATGTCCTATGGCAGCTAAGCTGTCCTATAGCAGCTATGTATCGAACCATTGGCGCTTAGGGAAACAGTGAGGAATTGCACTTACTGTATCAGCCATAAGCAGGTTGCATAAAGAGAGTTTGAGCAGTGTTTCGACAAAGAATCGTTAGGTAAAAACAGTGTTTTTCTATTCACAATAGTTTAGATCAATGGTCTCTATTCAGACTTTGGTAATTAGCTTTTACCTCCCAGTTTAGACAAGCAGTCATGGTTGAAATCTCAATTTAAACTTTCCTTAGTGGATGCTGCAAAAAGTGTAAAAATATTAACTTAGTTTCTTATGCATCGAATAAGTCGGCACAAGCAATGTATCTTTGAGTTTGGGAATATTTGACGGAAAGGAAGACGAGAATGAAAAATCAAAACCTCAATTTTTTTCGACAGCCCTGGATTTAGAAGGCGAATTCAACTCAAAGGAGGTCAAATGAAATTGATTTTGTACCACTTGATAGTTGCAATCTTAGTTATGAAAGCAATTTTGATTAATGGCCCTTTACTGTATAGTAATTGTGAGACATGGTTGGTTTGCCATGGAGAGTATTCGTTTTGAAAAGTGGAAGTATAGTTTACTGTTGCTTTTCTTTAGTGAAAAAAGCTCAACTCTAGAATGAACTTTTTAAGATTATGAGTAAATTGGGTTTTTAAGAGAAGTCTCAATCAAATCGATCAAGATGTTTTCCTGTCTGGAATCTGTATCAAACTTTGTACTTCTTTCTGACGTAAAGAGTTTTTTTGTTGAGACGTATAGCTTTTAATTCTCAGACCGTCTGGAAATTTATGAAAGATGAGTAGCTCGAAACTGTTGTTCTGATTTTGTAGCATTAGAATTCCCAGACACTTCTCGTTTTACAGACAATGTCTCAAATGTCGCTTGTTTTTGAATTTATAATTCTGATAATTATTCAGTCATTTTCGCGGTCTTTTTTTACAACCTCTCCTATAGAGAGAGGTTTTAACCCCTTTGCTTATTAACGCTCTCATTCAGTTGTCTAGATCCAGATCAGTAGGATAGTTTTCTGTTAATACCTATCTATAAAACCTCTTGTTACTATGTATTCACAAGGATGCGTGTACAGTTGCAGCTTTTAAGACTGGAATTTCTGTTCTACGCCAATTTTCTTATAGGCTCGGGATTTCTATTCTTTGTTTGTTTTTTGTTGGTTTTGGTACTAGAGTTCTTAATGATTTCTTAATTACGAAAGTGTCAAAGAGCTCCTTTTTAGATTTAAAATGAAAACACAAAAACTTAGGGCAACGAATGCTCCTCAAGTATATATATAGACGCAATTAAAAACCCTTCCTGCTATCAACGTCAATTGAAAAAGAAATGGATCAAAACCTAGACTATGCTGGAAGGTTCAAAATCACTGGCTATTGCATAGTTTTTGTCTACTGTGCTTGCATATCCAGGCAGTACGTAGTAACTATATCAATATCTATTTGTGTTCTAGATCAGAAATTCAGCTTGCAAGGTTGTATCACGAATTGAATGTGATGAAGAAAATCTCGAAGTCCTTGATGATTACGAGCTTTCATCAATCATTATTGACTTGTGTGACACGGTAATTTTGCTTTCAGCAACTGATGTATATATATATATAAATATGTTCTTCAAGATTTCACATCATAATATCTATAGGAGAGTCTTTGTGCTGTAGTTTAAGGGAAGGGTTTTATTGCCTGCAAGAGAACTTTTATTCTTCCAACCTCGGTTATTGCTTTTACATATTCTTAACCTATTTGCTACGTATCCATTTGGAGAACGAAGCCAAAGTTTCTTCAAAAATATCCTTGCGAACAGTTTAAAAGAGCTTGTTTTAGTAGAAACTTTTACTGCTTTTTAGAAGCAAAGTTCATCACAATTATTTGACAAATTCATTTTCAGGTTCCGTTACTTAAAGTTTTTGTTTTTTTCAATATACTCTTCCAATTGTTCTTCTAACTTGCAAAATATGTTTTATGTCTTCTATTTTTCCGGTATTGCGACTGGAAAATGTTGTTCATCAAAAAATTCAACGAGCTTATAGTTAATTGTAAATTTTCTGTAGATATTTTTTTCTACCCATTCTGTAAACATTTCTTTTAAAACTCAGGCCGATGATGAACTGCGAAAGGCATTGTGCGGCTGTATTGTTAGGTGAGAAATCATCAATTTTTCCCTGTTTTTGACTGGGAATAGAAGGCCTTTCTGTATCAAGTAATTTTTAAACCGTACTATTGCTTTGTGAATAATTTTCTTTCTAATTATTGCTTCTTATCTTAAGAAAATGTTGCATCGATCTTTTCATTTTTGTGTTCAAAACCTTAACATTATTGTTAGTGTTCCAGTGGATATACAATTGGCATTTAGTTCTGACTGATAATTATTACTATCATTCCCATTCTCTGTTTCTATTATCTTAAAAGAGTTCATCGAAATTCTAAGTCGTGATAGGCAATGTTGCGATTTAAAAATAATAAAATAATGATAGATAAAATTATAATAAAGCATCAAAGCCAATCAACTTTATAGTGAACATTCTAAGATATCGGATGTGTGCAATCTAGGGAATAGCGATTTTATTCTGAATATTGTAAATAATTTCACATTCCTTATCTAGATCCAGGGAAGATAACTTTTATAACATATCCGTACTTTATATTTTTCTTCAAGTAGAAATAAGTAAACCGAAACTGAAATTAGATCGAATTACAGATCTATCATATCTCTGTCTGTTTGTGTTCATTAATATTTGTCGTAGGTATACAAACATAAACATTCCGAGAATTTTGTTTTTATGTCAATGAACAGGTCGAAAGAGAAGTTCAACTGAAAATATCCCTATTTCACAACCTAAAAATAAAAATCATTTTACATTCTTAAACGGCGTTTTTGTGGCCTTAATACTGTTTAATTATGTTCTGATAAATTCTTGACTTGGATTTTCAAGGGTTCAGAGTATCAAAATGTTTATAATCTTGGTTGTCTGATCAAGCTAGATGGAAATGTGATCTGCTTTATCAAATTCTGAATTAATGGTATTGACAGGCTATGTTTACAGCTGTCTGTCTTGTGTGTTTTCCGTCTGATCATATTTCTGCTTTGACTAGCTCAGTTTTTGTACCCTGTTTGTCATTGCTGAATATTCGTTTGTGCAGCAACTTTATTTCTGCGTTCACCAAGGCTTTTAGTTCATCACAATATTCAGAGAAAGTTTCATAATTGGTCTCTTACTGAACGATCAAGACAATCCTCAAAATTAAACTGCAACATAATTGTTTTAAAAATTTCCCACTTCTACGTGCCATTTGGAAATTTTGCAGTGAAAGACTTTTACGAAACAAAACAAACCCAATTTGTTTCTGAAAAAAAACTAATAATTCGTTATAATTTTGCGACATCCCCTCCTCTTGCAAATGGGGATGGCCTTGCACCAACCTCTCCATTTTCAAAGAAATTGTATCATCGACTTTTTTCAGCTACGCAATTCATGATGAGTATAGACAAAAGCTGAGAGAGACAATTCCCTATTTGGGTGAATGGCTCACATCTTCTGATTTTGACGTAAAGAAGCTTACTACAACTGCCTTATTCAAACTATCATGTAATCGAGACAACAGTTTGCTTATCTATGAAAAAGGAGCTGTTAAGGTAGGCTTGTGCAGTCTTTTGCAGTTACAGATCACATCAATGTCCTGGTACTTTAACATTCTCTAATGATACCACTGTAGCTCTTCATTAGTTATCTACTTAAAGAATAAAATCCTATATTGCCATTTTTAACGCCTTTTGCTTAGTATGGAGCTCTGTATTTGATTTTGTCAATTTAGTATTCTATTTATTTATGTATTTAACGTTTTATGAATTGATGATCAAATGAAAGTTGAAAGAATAAAAATTGTACTATTTTTTTATTTCAGCTTTGTTTCTGATGCTATTTATCTGATGTTACTTTTTCTAAAAAATGGCTAATTTTCCGTGTTGAACCATCAAACTTTGAAGCAGTTAAAATGTTTTTTACGTTATTCTTTAAGAACACTATAAATCTTTATAATTTTTCTTCTACTTAATTTTCCAATTTGCAAAATGATTCTCTTTCAGCATCTGGTAGCTCTTATCACTTGCGATGATCAAAGCCTACAGGAATCAGCTGCAGAGTGTGTCAGAAACATTCGACTGACAACTGTACGAGCTGTGGAAAATCATTTCCGATGACATTTAATAAGACTGTTTAGAATAAAAAACACGTGTGAATTTGATAGATAAATAAACGTTGCATTTATCAACGATTTTTCTGCATTGTAGCAGCTTGTGAAACTATTCCTTAGTTGAAAAGCTTCCAATTTACATAATTAAAAGAGAACTTCCTTCTTTGTGATATGATCTTAGCTAACTTGTCGAAGCTAATGTATATATCATTAGTTTGTTGTTTCCTTTTCTTTGAATCTTTGTTTCTTCCTTTGAGTCTTTGTTAGGGTTCTTTGTTTTTAGACCCTTAAAGGGCTGTATCCAGCTACTTTGAATTGATAGTGGATTAGCCTCGTTTAACACTGACTGATCACTTGCCCTGCAAATGAGATCTTGGTGTTAGGATGCGATGCTTCGTCCACTCTGTGGTAGATTGATTTGTTCTTTTAGAATTTTTGCAAGGGTGTAGCTTTTGATTAATTAAAGGTTGCAACACTCAAATCAGTGATTTTTTCTTTGAGTCTAATGAACAAAGTACATAGAGGTTTTGTGTTTTATCTTCAAACTTCTGAGCAGAGTCCAGAAAAATTGTTAACCTTCCTCCAGACAAAGACATCTTAGAATACAAACCTTCCTCACAAAACAATATCGTGGACCTTCTTCCGCTCAGTGGCCGTGCGACCGTAATGTTTTCCTGGCTCTGCTTCTAGACTCTTGAATGTCAAGCAGGCCACAATCTTGAACGGTAAATCACTTTGAAACTGGCATTGTAAATCACTATTTTTTTTCCAGAACGATGATGAAAACTAACATTTGTACTTTTTGTAGACATATTGTATCAAACATGTCGATACTCGTTTAGAGTGAGTTTTCATCAATTAATTTTAGGAATGATTCAAATCAAGATAATATCATAGATTCAACTTTATTTTCTTTGTTGCGAAACAAGATTTCATCTCATATGGATCGCCAAGCCTGATTCCCACAAAATACCTTATTGAATGAAATCATTCTGATCAAAAGACAAAAGGTACTGTGCATCATTTACGATTACTACCTTGATAATTGCTTCAGAATTGATTAAGTTTATGGTTTATTTTATAGCAACTCATTAAAGGCATGGAAATTTGAACTGGAATTGAACTCAGTCTTGCTAATATACATTCAACGCGTGAGATTTGCCTCGTTTACCGTGACCTTTGACATCACCTGAACGCAACTTTCCTGACGTATAAACTATGTAGATGATAAAATAGGTGTGATAAGAGATTTTTTGCGTGTTTGGAATTAAGATTAATCGTGTTTTCTGCTTTTGTAGACCGGTTCTGTCTGAAAATTTTGCCAACCCTCACCGTTCTATTCAATGTGGCTTTTCGGTAAATTTTGGGCACTTCAATGCTGACCAGGCGAAGAAAGACACCACTTTAAAAATCACGAATAGTTTCGTGATAGTTTTTATATTTCAGGTTCTCAACCAATATCTAATCCAAACTAAGCTTGTATCTTTTCACTGATCATTAGCCCAATGAATACTGTTCTGCACTGCAACGACACTGCTCTGCTCAGTTGGCAATCAGCTCACTGAGGTTTAAAATCTTGACAGTTAAATATCTTAGACGAGTAGATTTATAAAATGTGGTATTGTTTTCGAGAATTGAGGTCATTTTTGTTATTTAAAGCAGTCTTCATGTATTAGTCAACATTTTAGTTTGGTTTGGTCTGAAACTAGTCGCGTCAGTACTTATTAAAGCAGTATAAATTATCAACCACTGAATATATACTTTTTCATTTCAAAAAAGGTTTTTATTTTGCTATACTTCCAGTCAATCTTTGTCTCTTCTATTATGCCCTTGTGACCTAATGAAACTCATGAGATAAATTCGTTTTATGATTTTATTCTTTCAATTTGAAAAATTTTTGTGTTCAATCCCTCCCTCTATACCTTTCAAAACCTCTATTGCCACTTTCTATTAACATAACTTAGAAATTTCTCGTCCAAAAAATTACAAGTGACAAATTTACATTATTCAACCTTCACTACAATAAGCTCGGTTGGAAAAACCTAATTATCCACAGCAAACAATGCTAGCCACACATCATACCAAACAGGTACATAAAAAAAGATTCAAACTTCCATAACGAATCTTTAGCAGCTCTTTTTATCCTAGATCAATTGTTTTAAATGACAAATTTTTCATTAAAAAGTTGATTTGATTATTTTCAATTTTGAAACATTCACTAGTTTTGAGAGTTGACGAAAATAGAAAGTGAAATAACAAACTGGATACCAGTCATTAAGCTGTTATGTTACCATGGATACCAGTCATTAAGAAGTTTATGTTACCATGCAATTTATACATTGATTTTTAATGAGACAAGTCTCCACATGTTGTAAAATTGTAGCTAAGTTTAATGAGAATGTTTTTTAGAATTGCAAATTCTAAAAAGAGGTTTTCTCTGACCGGCATTCCTATGTGTTATTTTGCTTTTCAGTCTAAGTGCGCTATTTTATACCCAGCGATGACTGTGGCCGAATCAATGCGTTTTCGTACATTTATTGGGAATGCCTGTATGGATCAGTAAACGATGCATGTTGGAAATGTACTTCCTCTGTGACCCTTTTGTGTCATCATCAAGAATCAGGTTTACCACTTTTTAAAAAAGTTTTACCGTTTATCATGATTTAAAAAAGCTTAAAAAGTTTACCACATTTTAAGCATTTTGATGTCTGTTTGAGTTCCTTCTGCAGTTCAAGAAACGTAAAAAATTTTAAAGTAACTTCTCTCAGATCACGATAAACAGAATTAAACGTGTTCATTTGGGTCATAGCATGTTCTTAGCCCGCCAGATAGAGTGCGCCTTTGTCTCATCTCTTAATAAGCGGCAGTTTTAAGCGTCTGATAGTGACTTGAAAAAATCGATTAATGAAAACTCCTGTTATTGGCAAAAACTTATTAGGAAGATCTCTAGACACCACAGTTATATCTTTACGCTATATCTTTACATACCCACGTATTTCAAATTGTGATCAGAGACAATAGGATTCTCGTATATAACATAAAAATGAATCAGGACCGGGCAATATAATAACCAAAATGATAGTGTTTTTAATCGGAAAATGTATAAAAACGGCCATTTATACACCGCCAATGAAATAGATCATGCCCTGGAAACATTTTTATTAAGACAGATTACTCCGGTGGGTTCCCTAATGGTACAAAGCGGACGACGGAAGAAAAGGCTAGACATATGTGATCAAGTAACTTCCTTGACCTTGTAACACTATGCGCGATTTAAAGAATCTCTTTTACGGGGAAACTTAACATGTACAAGTCTTAATCCAATGATTATTCTACTTTGCTTCAAACCAACGCTTACTACATAGAGTGCAGTGAAATGAACCTTTTGCAGTGAATAATACGAAACTAAAAAGCTCAACACGTATTGATTATTTGTTCCCGAAGAAAGAAAATTTCAATTTCTTATGCTTACTTGTGCTCATACAATTATATGATGGTTTCTAAGGACTTGTTCTAATCTCAATGGTCGGACTATGCTTTGAGCAATCTCTATCTATCTTATTCTAAATTCATATATTGTAGATATAGTAAGTGTATTAGCTTTTTTGACGTTCAAGGATAATACAAAAAAATTTAGATTTTTTGGTAGCGATAAAGTAACTTTCCTATAATTCATTTTCGTAATTATACAAAAATATCTTATAGAGTTAACTTAATTTTCTTTATGCAGTAGACATAATTGATCTTTGGTAGATGGCTTGATTAATTTTTTGCGAATTCACGTTTTTAGATCTATTTTGTCTCCTCCGTTGATGTCTCCTCCAAGAGCCAACAAGCACCTCACGTTTCACTTGCATCAACACTCTGCATGGCCATTGATACCAAAGAACATTTTTATCAATGTAAATATTAGACAGAAGTAAAGTGGGCATGTCATTTCCTACGCAAGTTTTCATTATCATTCCTATGTTTGTAAATGTAAGCGAACCTAGCGGCCTAGTCAGCATGAATCATTAGTTTCAGCAGTGCAGGCAAGACTGCAAGGAAATAGGCCATTTCCTTTTCTACCGTGTATAAACATTTAGCGGAATTGGAACGTGTTGTCTCGTAACCAAGACAGATACTTCCACAGTTGTACCTACTGTTCCAAGGTTTCAAAACATGTCTGGAGACTCTAACAATAGACTTAATGGACACAAAAACCCAACGTCTGTCGCAAAACGTTTGAATGAGCTAGTTTTGTTTTGCTCGTATGTGTGCATTCGGAGAAAACCTCTATAGAGTCACTAGAAAAATTTACTTTCTGAATAACAAAGAAGGTCGACGTACACTGAGTAGTTTCTTCAAGTGGCGGCAAACTATAGAGCTATCTGTCGTCTTAAGATTTTCTTGATTTTGAAGTCATTGCATCATTATAGGTTCCTTATTTAATTCTGAAGCTAGGGAAAATATTATGCTATGGATTTTAGTATTTCATTGCTTCATGATGTAAGATAAAAGGCTTTTGAAGTTGGTTGTCAAGTTTTGTGAGAAATATGGAAAATTTTAATTTTTTTTAAGCGATGTTTATCCAAACCAGTTTTGGAGAACTATTTTGAAATGTCCAGTTCTAGTTACAGCAATTATGAAATTGTGTAATAATCGGTGTAAAATCTCATCTAAAGATCTCACAAAAAATCTCATCTAAAGATCTCATCTACCCAAAAAATGATATTTCATAAGTTTTATATTTCGAATTGCTCAAGGTAGGTAGGTTACAGGAGCTGGCAACGTTATTTACAAATTTCAATTTGCTCAGATACCAGTCCATTACTATACAACCAAGAAAAAATAGATATTGTATAACAGGGAGAAGGTCTTGAAAATAAATGTGAAAGGTCTCAAAATCTGTCTGCAGGTGCAGGTTGCTTGTAGGTGTATTCACTTGATGTATTCATCATGAGTATTTTGTTTACTGTGATTTCCTTGCTGTATACATGTCAATTTTTGGCATCCGCATCATCCACATCGAAATTCGCAATAAATCATACTGGTTATAAACAGAAAAATTGTAAACCTCCAGGGCAATTCTATTTAGACATGTAGGGTTATGCTTTGATACTATGAATATCCATGAAGAGATTTCTCATCGTGTTCTTTCGGACCCTTATTATTACGCTTTATGCTCTGAGGAGTGTCAGACAAAAAAGCTTTTACCCAATATGTTATAAAGTGTTTTCTTTTTTCAAAGCCATTTTCAAGTTCTCTACCGCCAAAAAACTGTTCAAATATGAAGATCCTATAAATCTCAATATCATCCAGTAAGAAAATATCCACTGCTAGATTATTTATAATAGATGCGTTGCTTAAAACCTGCAAATTTTTCATATATCAACACCTCGCACATATATCATCGACCAAATGACCTAAATTCATTTTTATATTTTGCAGACATAATGCAGACATAAGAAAAAATTCTTCACAACTATTTAACATTGCGCTGGCATAATTAGAATAATTAAGGTTCATTTGTACTAAATATGGCGTTTTGAATAGCAATAAATTAATTTTGCTTAGAAAAGATTATTTTTACTCATGATAGGAAAAGTTTTCATAGATCAACAATACTTTTCTAAGCGTTTCCTGGCTTTTTAAAGGAAGATGGAAAGGCATCTTTCGGAATTCGATGATAATTTAGTGATTTTCAGACAAGGAATGAATGGATCTTAATGAAAACCATTAACTTTTTTAACTTGTGTCTTAGAACCCTGAAAAAAATTATTTTGCTTTCTACATAATATCAGCTGAAAAGTATTTTGAATTAAATATTTGTCATTCTTCTTGCAATTGAAATGGCTAATAATAAAGCAACCGAGATAAACTGTACAAGAATGCTTCTTAACGGTCTTTCGAAGTGAAAATCCTTATTTAACCTCTTTCATGTAAATACATAGAGCTTCATGGTGTTATAGAGGGAATACTTAGACTTCAAGCTTGATACAAATCATGTTGTCTTCAACAAACAAGTGGCTGAGACTCACAAGCGTCTTCAACAAACAATACTTTAAACCAGATTATTTATTCCCGAGACGGGATCTGTTACTTTCTTGGAAGGCAACAAATATAAATAAACAGGTTTATTCACTAAATTTTAATTGATATTAATTTCTCAATATTTAAATTATGCTATTAAAAACAATGCTACAATTTTCTCAAGAGTTGTCAAATTCCTTTTGAAGTAACATTTGATAAACATTTTCATGACCTCTACTCAAGTTTTCGAAGACAATTTTTGAGAAATAGGCCTATGCTTGGTTTTCACAAGACAGTAAGGTCTTTGTAGATTTGCTAACAGTAAATGAGAAAGCGTTTCACGGAGCTGAAAGAAGCTCCATGTCTAGCCATAGCCTAGAATCATTGTTAACGGTGAGCCATAAATAGTGCAACCTCCTAATGCTATTATCGTTCAGATTTTAATATCTGTAAATATTTCTGCCCTTTAATCCCTGCTTAGAAATCGGTTTTTACAATCAAAAATACAATTTAGTCTTCAATTTATCGGATAACGGAAACGATCAATTGAGTCTGTCTGGTCTATCAGATTACGAAATTGAAACAGCAGCAGCAATAAATCGTTTAATTCTCAAGCAAGAACAAAGAACCAAGAACTTTGTAGAATGTAGATGATAAATTTACTACTTCAGACAGGGAATACTAACCACCAATGACTTACAAGCGTTCGCTGTCGCTTAGATAAGCAAAAATTTGGCTGTCTAGTGCAACGAGAAAGGGTCCAAAAATGCTTTATTTCGGTCTATACAATTACCTCTATTCTCTCCATCTATTTAGATTTTTTAAAGCTATAAGTTTTACGGGTGGGAGCAATATATTTTGAGTTTTATTATTATTAATAACTGCATACTGTTCCCAGGCAAGACATATCATGAGAACTATCTTTGCTTGGAGTTAGGAAGCATAGGCGGGGCCGTCATTACAATCCCCTTGAATAATGCTCAATTTAAAAACGAGATGCTTTATGCCTTGGAGGGGTGCCTCGTCAGTAAATGTTCTGCCTTTATGGCAAAAAAAGGATGGCTGGCCCACTTTTTTGCCTAATAGGATCTTAGCACCTCCTCCCCCACCTTTCTTGAGCACAATAGCTAGCAACGGGATCTTTA